GTGCTTAATATTCGCTGGAATTCAGTAAGCTGGGTAAATATAAAACAGGCAGGTGTCAGTGTGGATCAAACAGTTCAATACATTAGCAATAAAAGGAGCAGAATTATCGATATTTTCACTCTATAGCCTTCAAGGGAACAAAAAGTTGATTAATAAATAAGCGAAGCAATGCTTAAAATTAATATAGCTGAAATGGTCCTTTATTTAACAGGCACTGTGAAGTATTGTGCCCAGCTTAGAACTTAAGACAGTTCATAGCATTTACATTGAATCATTTGCAGAAACATTGCGCAAGATTTTTTACAAATGGGCGAAGTATACTGTACAAATGGGACTTGACAGATTTTCAATAAAGTCTCGGTTCAGCAGGTCAGCACAGGGGGACACGTCTCATCTGTTCCCCTGCACATTGGACGCCAGCTTTCAGCAACTCCAGCACATTTCACCACATCAAAAACAAAAAAGTCACATAAATGTCAGCCAGAGAAACAGAATCCAATAGAGCTTCTGTGACCCAAAGTCTACCCTTTTTTTTAAATGTTTACATTTTCTATTCTCAGGATGGTGAAGGAAAAGGAAATTTCCACTAAACAGTTCCCTACTGTGGAGTCCTGTAGCTCAGTGGTTAGAGCACTCGCTTTGCAAGCGAGAGACCGGAGTTCAATTCCAGGCAGAGGGCGAAACCTTGGGCAAGTTTCCTTACTCCACACAGAGCCTAATAATAATCCCTCCAAAACCAAAAACAATAATAAATTGGTCATTTTCAATCTACGACTGTTTGTGGGACATTGCTGTGCGCAATGTCCCACAAACAGTCGCGTTCGCCCACAAATATAAAGTCAATTCACTTTACAGTGTGTTCTGTGAAGCGCTTTGGGATGTCCTCCCGACGTGAAAAGCGCTATATCAAATGCAAGGATTATTATTATTATTACTTTATTCACATAACAGCCCTGCTATAACAACAACAAAATAACATTTATAGAGCGCCTTTCACGTCGGGAGGACGTCCCAAAATGCTGAACAGTCAGGTGTCGGGGTCCGAGCATGGGGGAGGGATGAGGAAGGCAGAGAGGTGGGAGAGAGACCAAAGACACGGTCGAAGAGAAGGGTGTTGAGACCGGCCTTGAAGGAGACAAGGGAGAAAGTGAGGCGAAGGGACCGTGGGATGGAGTTCCAGAGTGTGGGGGCAGAGAGGCTGAAAGCCCGGCCACCGATGGTAGGGCGGGTCGAGCAGGAGACATGGAGCAGGCCGGAGCCCGATGAACGGAGGGAGCGGGCAGGTTGGTAGGGCGTCAGCAGGTCAGAGAAGTAGGAGGGGCAAAGCCATGGATGGCCTTAAAGGTGAGGACGAGGATTTTGAACTCGATCCTCTGGGCGATGGGGAGCCCGTGCAAATTTCCTATTCATTGTGCATGTCAACCCGCTCACTTCCCGCAGGCCAGTCAGCGTTATGTACTAAAACGATCGACTTTCGCATTGAGATTGTTGTTTACATCATTTCCTGCTTTGTTGTGCATGTGTAAAGAGGATGGGATGTCATCGGCGGGAGGCTATTTTATATTCCCACGCTGAAACAAATGACTGACCTCTGGGTCATAGGTCACTGCCAAGGTCACTCTCCACTTTGAGTGAGTGCAGAAAACTCAAAGTAAGTTTCCAATGGTCTGGAAGTTGGCCATGTTTTCATTTAGCGCAGGTGCCAGCAGGCACGCTCTTTGCACGCCAGCTGGTTACATGCACGTGCAGCCAAACCCACCATCTCGCCTGGCTAATAAAGTCAACCTGCACTGTGCTTAATCCTTTTTAGTTAGGATAAGTTAAGCTTACAATACATAGCACCTTTTATGTCGGGAGGACATCCCAAGGTGCTGAACGTTACAGTCCAAAAGGAGACAATTCAACCCATCTTAACGGTGCAAGTTCTGTCACTGGAGCCATCTTCTACAATAAAATTTCCCTTTCATCCCCCATATTTTTTAACATTATACCTTTTAAATGCTGTTATGAGCTCGGCTTCAACAGCCAAATGTATTAGGCCAGTCCTTATTTTAACAATCTATCCACCCCTCTCAGGAGGGAGGCAAGGTAAGCAGGGCCTCCTTGGAGATGAACTGGCTCCGAGGTGACACGTTTGGCAACGGAATGTCAGAATTAAGCCCTCTGTGGCAGTCTTGGTATTCCAGAGCCAGACAGCTCCTCAGGACACTGCTGATGGGTTTCCACATGTGTCACCTGGCTGCCCCTGCCCCTCCCCCACCAAAAAGAACTGTAAAAATCTCTTTTTTTTTTACTGGTGATAATAGTCACTCTTTTTACCGGTTCACCAATCAGTGGTAATAGTCTCTCTCTAGTAATCAGAACCATTCATAAATTTTAAAACCTTATTAGATTTGCCGCTAGCCTTCTCTGCTCCAGCAAAAAAAAATCTAATTATTACATCATCCCATACAGCAAGGCTAACAGGAATACATTTAATGTAATATTAATGCTTGCATTTGATGAAGTGCCTGCCTATGACGTCAAACCATCGCAAAATTATTCGAAGACAATCACTGTAGAGTGTAGGGACTGTATATTTCTAGGCAACACGGCAGCCAATTTGTGCACAGCAAACAGCCAAGAAATGAATGATCAACTTATTTAGAGGACGGCTGGCCAGGCAATTGAAAGAGATTTCTTTTTTGGAATATTGTCATGGAAATTTTAATGCCCACCTGAAACAGGCAGAAGGGTTATCGGTTTAATATCTCAACAAAAGGGTGGCATGTCTAGCAACACAGCCTGGCCCCAGCTCTGGTCCTGATATGGAGCTTGCACTATTCCATTGCAAATATACAGTTACGTTAAGCAGATCTTGAAGGAAAAATCAACAAAACCAGATTTTGAAGAAGTATTTTCATGCAGACACATTAATACCATTTGTTGCAATAAATCCACCATCAGCATATGCTACCGTGTGATAAATGACCCACACAAACCACCAAGATTACAAATAAAGGAATTTCTATGCAAGAATCAACAGTTCAACACGTTTCCCATGGTGGAAATGCTACTGTGATATAAAAACTGCCAGAATAGTGTCCAGGATGTTGACACATCATGCATGGCTACATCAATATTATGCTTAGTATTGTAGTCTATTATATAATGAACTTCCAAATACATGCAACACTAATAATCACAATAATCAGATACTGTTGATTTTAAAGGATTGGTTGACTCAAACAAGTCTGCTGGCATTCAAACCCAGCCTTATTCTCAACCTAAATCTTGGAAGAGCTTATTATTCACCAGACTGAAGAGGAGCAAGATGCTGGATGAACGAAACAAAGCAGAAACTATTTTTTATATAAAATAAACAAATGTTAGTGTTGTTCGCTAGAACAGGATACAGGAGTCAGGTGGGCAACAACTGAAGACAGAGAAGGACTAGCATGCATACACGCAAAGTATATATCCAATTTCATGACCAGGAAACCAGGAAAAATTCCTCTCTCTTTTCAAACAATGGCATCCCTTCATTTTTAAAAGCTTTCTATATATTTCACATAAAAGAGGTCCACATATTCTGAATTTGCCTCTAAATCCAGCCATTTTTTCACAATAAAGAGAGGCTAATTACAGGATTAGGCTATCCATTGACTTCCTTTGGATATCAACACTGTACATGACTCACACTGCAGGGAACATCACAACCAAGTCCGATCGTCTGCTCATCTAGTCAACAAACCCAGTTTGTTTTTTTACCCTTTTTTTTAATAAAACCTAATTTTTTTTTACCGCTTCCTAGTAAAATCCACCGTGGCCAATTGTCTCAGCAGAGATTATGATCAGGTCAAATCTTTTGAGTCTGTATGACTCAACTACTCAATAAGGAAATTTCATTGAGCTATCAGGGGAACTGGTTGACATCTTTTTAATGAAGACCCAAGTACAACAACAACTTGGATTTATATAGCACCCTCCACGCCAGACGGCGTCTCAGAGCGCTTTACAGTTTAGGATCCCGGGACCGAGCCAGGGGGAGGGGTGGGAAAGTGACCAAAGGTGCGGTCGAAAAGAAAGGTCTTCAGCAGAGAGTACTACACATACAATGTGAAGGCGACAAACGTTGAATTTAACTTCAGCCTCGTATTCAAATCTAATCATGGCCTTGCTCGATGTACTGCAAACCTACAAATCTGGCTGTTCCCTCTGTTCAGCCTCCTTCATGTCCCTGCCTGATCCATCCTACCATCAGTGAGCAAGTTTTCAGCCATTCTGCCCCTGATAGCTGGAATTTCTTCCTGGAATCCATCTGCCTCGACCCCTCCCTACCCAATTTTAAAGCCTGCCTCAAGACTTACCCCGTTTCGACTGTTCTTTCGGAAATCTTTCCCTTTCCCCCACTCTCAGCTCGGGTGCCCAGCCAACCATGTGAATCACTTTGGAGACATCCTCCTGACATGAAATGGCGCTATATAAATTTAAATTATGTTGTATTGGCTCAAGCTATGTGTAGCCAGTACACCACTTAATACAATCATTAGCTACCTTCCAATTCTATCCTCCCTTCTATACTTCAGTCTAAAAATAACTTGACAAATTCCTGGCCACTCTGATAGTCGCTCACGCTACATCCCGTTCTTGTTCCACTACAGATTGAATTCAACAAATTCAGTGTCAGCAAGAATGCACATAGAACCACAGAAATGTACAGCACTGAAGATCATTCAGACCATCGTGTCTGTGCTGGATCTTAGAAAGAGCAATCCATTTGGTCCATTTACCTGCCTTTTCCTATATTCCATGACATAATCATTGTGAGCCTTTTACAGGTTAAACCCAACACTTACAATTTTGCAGAAAAAAAACATTTTGTGTGCTCAAGTTTTGTTCATTACAAATGAACACAGCTCGAAACAAACAAGATTATTTTTGTAAGCACAACAGCTGTTTAATTTCCATATCTATCAAACTAAATGAACAAGAATAATTTCACAAACAATTCCACTTACTCTTTGTTTCTTCCTTTTAAACATGAGTGATAGAGTACTTTGATGGCGTTGTTTGCTCCATACGATTTGAATGACAGCCCAGGCTTCGCTATTCTCTTGTTGGGCTCACAAAAATCACAGACATCTGGCTTTACATGGGATCTCACTAACAAGGTATCAGAATTCAAGAGCCACAGCTGAAAGGATAAGAGGAGAGAAAAGAAAAGTAATATATCTGAATATATTATCTAAACAAATCTGAACATAAATAAAATGCATTGTTTTCAAAATCCTGCCTATACAAAGGCAACCACAAGTCGCTCTGCATCACCAGGCATTCTGCAGCTTAATATAAAGAAGTGAACAAAGAACATATCAGGAAACACGGAACCACTGTTTAAAGTTGTACACACGCAAATTATTTTTGAGTTTCAGGCTTTGTTCCTGTACAAGAATGGCACAGAATAGCCAATCCCAACATTAATGCCCCTCCCTCCCTGCAATATCAGCTTCAACTTATTTTGGGAACAATATGCCTGAACTGAAGGAAAAATAGAATTTATATTTTTACAGTGCTTTGCCATACTGAAATGAGTCAAAACATTTTACAGCAATTACTATTAAGTGTAGACTTTTTTTGCCGGCAAACTTTCATTTACATAACCCACCTTTCAATAATAATAATCCTTACATTTAGTATCCCAAATAATAATACAATAATTTGTATTGTAGTATAGTGCCTTTCAGGTTGGGAGGACACCTCAAAGTGCTTCACAGGGGATACTGTAAAGTGAAGTGATTGTGCATTTTGTGGGTGAACGTAAAGGAACATCTAAAAAAAAAACTGACAAATGCAGCGATAGACAACAAGCAAATAAATTTACGATTAAAATAATAAGTTATTCTTCCTTTCCCTTCCCCTTTGCAAATTATCTTTGCCTCTAATGCAAGTAGCGACTCATGGCAGTTAATAGCCATCTGGTGCCTGCTTCATGTGTGACCTAAGTAACAAAGCTATTCAACCTTATGTTGTACCACAGTGAAGCTTGATTGCCTGCTTCCCTGAAGGTCCGTGCGCACCCATCTTCAAGGAAGCGTCAATGGTCTGTGAGCAGATAACAAACTCAGGCTGATTTTTTTTTACTTCTTCCCCATAGAGGGTATAATCCTTGCATTTTGGTATAGCGCTTTTCACGTCTTCTAGACGTCTCAAAGCGCTTCATAGAATATACTGTAAAGTGAATTGACTGCATACTATGTAGGCGAAACACGGCAGCCAATTGCGCACAGCAGTGTCCCACAAACAGTCATGGATTGAATAGACCAATTTATTATTGGGGTTCTTTTTAGGGATTATTATTAGGCATGTGGAATAAGGAAACATTTTAAAAGAAGTGGGTATCCTTTGAGACGGACCTGGTTTTCAGTGAGACAAGAGAATTGAAGGTTGAGGAAAGGTGATTGTTTAGGAGCTTGACATCTGCGTCTAGATCACTGTGGGTGGAAAGCCAGAGGGAGAGAAGGTCCGAGGATGAGGTCCAATTCACTTTACAGTATATTCTGTGATGCACTTTGAGACGTCTCGAAGACATGATAAGTTATTATATCAAATGCAAGGATTATTATTATTATATATACCAGCAGCATGGATTCCAATCCACTCGGGTCCTAACCCCTAACTGTTCAATGCCTTGGGATGTCCTCCCAACGTGAAAGGCGCTTTACAAATGTAATTTTGTATTGTAATGTTTGGTTCCCAAACTGAAGTGATGCAAGATTCAAAAGCTCCGAAGTAGAAAGGTACATGGAAACAAGCTGGTTGCAGCTTCATACATCAGCAGCTTTGCTCCCCTGCACTGCAAGACACATGTGAGTTGACAGGCATCCCATTACTAGGAGCAGCCATTCAAAAGAAAGGTTCACTTAAGCGTGGAATAAATCCTTATGAATGCTAAAAAAATAATTGTATAGGGATTCTTGTATTCACTGTGGCAAATAAAACATCCTGTTTACAGATTTATTGATTTAAATTTTAATCCCAAATAATAACAGCTAAATCCTCTTTAACATACTGTTATTTACTGAGTTGGGGCATCACTATGATGGTCAGTGCTGCAAACCACATTGTCAGATACTGGCAGGATACAAGTGACACAAATGGTCATCTTGGGGCGTTGGGCCCATTTCAGTGCCTTGGGACGTCCTCCTAAGGTGAAAGGCGCTTTACAAATGTAATTTTGTGTTGTATCTACAAGAGGAATTTCAAGGTATAGCTGTGGGATTGTGGGCTGATATAGTGTAGAAGACAGATGGTCCCCAAAGGAAAAGCAGTAGTTACTGGGGGCAAAGTTACTGGCTTATAACAGGCATTATAGACACTGGGAAGCCAGCTACAACCAGCCCTGCCAGGTGTCACTGGGTGAAAATGAGTAGAAATCAAAGATAAACAGGAATGGGAACAAATGAGAGAACACTGGGCACTGAATGAGGCAGGAATTTAATTCAAACTACTGGATCAAATAACAATTGAAATTTACACAAGACAAATTGCAAGGAAGGAGGTGAGAGAATTTTTTTTATAATAATGGCATAATAATCCTTGCATTTGATACCTCACCTTTCACATAAGAATATCACAAAACACTTCACAGTATTTATTGTAAGGTGTAGCTATAGGTGAACGCAGCAACCAATTTTCACACAACAATGTCCCACAAATTGGCGTGGAGTGAATGACCAATTTTATCTGTGGGTTTGTTGGCAAGACACCAGGGGAAACTCGCTTCTCTTTATCAATTAGTACCATGTAATCTTTAGCACGCAGTCAGACAGGACCTCGGTTTAATGTCTCATTCAAAGGACGGCGCCTCCAACAATTCAGTACTCCTCCAGCACTGCATTGGAGTGTCAGCCAAGACTGTGTTTAAAGTCCTAATGTCGGGCTTGAACCCACTAACTTCAGACTCAAAGGCAAAAATGCTACTAACTGAGCCAGACTAAGACTAAATTTCACGTTTAGAAAACATCTAAACAATAATCTCTGAGGCACCAACACAACAAAGATGCAGTTTTATTCCAAAACCTAACTACTCAAATTCAAACATTCCCCAACGCTTTTGCTCTTTAAACCACTCTCAATTTTCTATTCAACATTGCTGTGACATAATAGCACACGCAGGAAAAAAACAAAGAACATGTATGCTGAAATAGTGAGATTTATTTATAGCATTTCACAAAATAATGACATTAAATTGATAGGCTTTGTCGTTGGGAAAAGAAAAAAAACTAAACAAATGTGATAGTGCATGAAACTTGCTTCGTTAAGACAAATTATAGGCATGGCAGTGCAAACTGAACCCTTCCCACAGTGCATGCTTGTGTATAAATTGATAGATGAAATATCAATGAGTTTAGAAGCTAAATTTACTCAATTTATTCCACTAAACTTTGCAAAGGGCAGACTGATGCTGTGAATTAATGTTGGCGTCAATTTATCTAACCCAGTGGTGCACATCTTTGCTAACCTCAGAGGCTGGAATGTATCCATCTCAGTAATAATGAGACCTGAACAGATGACACATTCTGTTCAAGACAGGAATCAGAGTGGCATGTAGTTTCCTGTTTGATTATTTCCTCTCACTCTTTTCATGCCCATGAAAATTCAGAATTCCAGAGTAATAATTAAAGTGGACTTAAGCAGGATAGTGGCTTTTTGAGATTTTGATAACTAAAAACGAAACGCTAGCTTCGTGCTTACTGAAAAACTATCCCGCTAACCGCAGTTGAAGGCAACATTCTCTCAGGATATGACAAATAGGAGGCAAAGCAGTGTGCAATGAAAACACTCAAAATCCTGTTTAAATCCTGCCATCTAGAGGTGAACCTCAGGGAAAACGTATTTTCTGAAAATTCAATTCTGATTCAACTTTAAACCTAAAGGTAATCTTTACCCAGCTGAATGCGTTTGCTAGCTGAATAAAACCAGGCGAGTGGACAAGGTAATAATCCTATTCTCGGGTCTTTCTTTAATATCCTTTAATATTATTTTTCCTCTAATATTTATCAATTCCTTTTAAAGTTCTTTGGAGTCCTGTAGCACAGCGGTTAGAGCGCATGCCTCGCAAGCGAGACCTGGGTTCGATTCTCGGCAGGGCGAAACGTTGGGCAAGTTTCCTTACTCCACACGCCTCTGTTTACCTAGTAGTAAGTAGGAACCTGGTTGTTAGTTGATTAGCGGATCACTTTTCTGGGGGTAATAATTCCTCAAAAAAATTGGTCACTTAATCCATGACTGTTTATGGGACGCTGCTGTGCGTAATTGGCTGTACATTTCGCCCACAAAATATACAGTCAATTCATTTTACAGTATATTCTGTGAAGCGCTTTGAGACGTCTCAAAGACATGATAAGATGCTACATCAAATGCAAGGATTATATTAAGGACTTGGCTTCAAGTCATTTTGTGGGGAAAATCTATATTCTAATAAATCTCTGTATGAAAAAATATATTTAACCTCACCCTTTTTTCTTCCAGTGATATCAATTTACATCCTGGTTACCGAGTTATCGAACAATGAAATAGTTTCTCTCTATTTACCTTAACAAACCCATTCAGAAAATCCCTATAAGATTCCTCTTAAGTTTCCCTGCTCCAGTGAAAACAGTCCCAGTGCTATCATGAGAAGTTTGATCATTTCAAAGAATTTAGAGAGATGAAATGGACTCTATAAGAACATAAACTTATTCAATCCTCTGATTTAATACACAGAAGTTGAAATATGTCATGATTTTACATATGCTAAAAAGTTAATCTACACAGGAAAAGTACTGTGTGTGCAAAACTTGCTTCAGGCTGTGATGGAGCTTCAGACAAATCATTATGTTGCAGAATTTGAACCAGGAGAAATCTTTTTTCATACAATATCATTTATAAACTTAAATAGTTTGTTAAGTAACTACATTTAAGAGAATTAATTGCACCACAAACAAACTTGCACCTATACATACAGAATAAAGAGAACAAGTATATGTGAGGTGGTAAAATTTTGAAAGGAATGGAATAGCGAGGAACTTAGGGGTTAGTGTACATGAATTTAAAACTAGTGTACTCAAATTTTATAATTAGGGGCATAGAACATAAAGTTGAAATGTAAAGTGAAACTTACATAAATCATTAGTTAGACTGCAGTTAGAATACTGTGTCCAGTTTTGATCACCCAACCTTAGGAAGGCAACACAGGGAGTGCAGAGGTGATTTACTAGAATGATAATTGGGATGTGCGGTTTGTCCTATGAGCAGGGATTGGAGGAACTAAGGCTTTTTTCGCTAGAATAAAGAAGGTTGATGGGTGACCTGCTAAAGTTCTTTAAAATTATTCAGTGGATTTGATATACTGTAGGGAGACGTTACAGTAAAACTCACATAAGCTGAATAAGTTGGGATTGTAACATTTAATATGACGCAAAGTTCGAGTTGCAAGCAAACTGTATGGGTCGTGTAAAATCCGATTTAATCAATAATCTTCACTGCATACGTGTAATTCAATGCAGGCGCATTTGGTAGTTCATCACTCCAGCCAGTAAGTTTGCATGTGAGGACGGGTTGGGAAGGCCGACAAACAGGGAGTAGGCGTAGTCAAGCCTAGATGTGATGAATGCGTGGATGAGAGTTTTGGCAGCCTGAGTGGTGAAGCAGTGGCAGAGCCGGGCAACATTGTGGAAGTGGGAGAAGGCAGAGTAGGTCATGGCACAGATGTGGGCTGGAAAGGACTGGCTTAGCAAGGTGGAGTGTGCAACCATGGATGGTGATGCTGTCAGCGCCTGAGGTGAGGAGGCGCTGACGGGAGCCAATCAGGAGAGCCTCGGGCTTGTTGACGTTCAACTGAAGAAAGTTAGCTCTCATCCAGGACTTGATGTCTGACAGACAGTGGTCCTGAAGTCAAGGGTGGAGGCAGAGAGGTAGAGTTGAGTGTCATCTGCATACATGTGGAAGTTGACCCCATGTCTGCAGATGATGTCACCAAGAGGGAGCATATAGATATTGAACAGGAGGGAACCAAGGACAGAGCCCTGAGGAACTCCGCTGGAGAAGAAGCCATTTGTGGAGATGAAGTGGAGACATTGCAAGAGGTAGGATCTGAACCATTCAAGGACAGAACCATGAAGGTTGAGGTGAGAGGATAGACTTTGGAGGAGGATAGAGTGGTCGAACGATATCGACTACAGCAGAGAGGTCAAGGAGGATGAGGAGGCAGAGGGAGTCCTGGTCACATATGGATAAATGTCATTTGTCACTTTGATCAAAGCTATTTCTGTGCTGTTTCTGTTTAGAGGGGTTCATGAAGGGAATGGCGGGAGAGGAAGGAGCAAAGCAACAACTTGTTTTGATAGGAAACTAAATGAGACTTAGGTAAATGTACAACTTAGGCATTTATATGATTTATAAAGATAAGACTTGTGCAAGTTTCACTGTATATCCATTCATCAGCGAGTCAGTATTAAGATTATTAGTAAAACAGTATACAGGTGAATGGAGCAAGGATAGGAAAACAGGATTATAAGTACTGCTCTTTAAAAGAGCCAGACATGAAGAGTGGAATGGCCTTATTCTGTGTTGAAAAATTCTATGGTTGGAACAGGAACATTGAGAATCGTTCAGTAATGAGGCACTGGGAAATCCTAATTGGTGCTATCATGTGTTCCACAACCCCTGTATGTAACCACTCTAATCCTACAGTCATACACATGACGTGTATTATCAGCAGCTCTAATGTCAAGCTTCTTTTTTTTCCACATACATTATTTTGTATTTGTAGATATTATTTTCTTTTGTAAATGAACTATATGGACTCAGTGGAAGGATTCTCTTTCCCTGGAATTTTTGTTGTTCACATTCTGGGATTTCACAGCCACTCGCATACCTCAGCACTGGGCCCTACATGACCACAAATGCCCAACATACAAATAAGTTCATCCTTACTAAAATGTATGTCTTCCCATCATGTCCTTGAATGCAGAATCGGAATGTGCTCTGAGCAGAGGACAACTCCATCAGTCGACCGGCAACCACACTCTCCACAAACACAGATCTAAAATATTTGATAAAAGATGCAAGTTTTAAACAGTGCACTACACTCTGTTACAAATACAATACAAATCTACATATATTATATATATGTGCCTTTCACACAGGGAGAATGTCCAAGCGCATGAATAATAATACCTCAATATTACTAAAGTTAAAACATTTTGAAAATATGCAATTTTAGAGGCCAGCAATAACATGCAACACCATAGAAGTGAGGATGAAGATTCAGTAATAGTGGGAAGAGAGATCATGGACTAGTCTAACATGCCTTCTGTTGACGAGTCGTGTGGAAGCAAGACAGCCATGGCGAATAAAAGGCAGAGAAGAACAGATCATCTGGGAGAACATGGAACAATTTCATTGCCTTGAAAAAAATGCTATAAAACTTTTTAACATTAAAATTAAAATCTGGCAAAAACATAATTCATCAAAGAATATAATGGGCTACTTCCATAAAACTGTCCAGAAATATGAACGCAAGCCTCATTCCTTGATGCATTAATACTTTACTGTAATCAATTACCTTCATTTTCACACATCTAATGTAGCTAATGAAAGATAAGCCCTAATAGCTCCAGATTACAATAGATCATGTATAATGCAACATTAATTGATTGTGGTAATAAGGAAAAAATCTTCTAATATATTATGTCCATGTGCTTGTGTGTTTGAGGGAGTAAATGAAGAGAGAGTAAGAGAAAGAACAAAGAGTAAGGCTGGAGAAAAAAATCTTTCAAATATTGATGAAATAAAGACTAAAATCATAAGGAGCAGTCACAGAACGTTTAGGAGGAAGTGCATTCTTGCTTGACAAGGCAACAGATGACTGGTTGGGAAGATTTGCTTCAATATTAGACTTTCAGTCTCACCACACAACCCTTCCTGGACAAATATAGCACCCCTCTTCACTCTCTCAACAATGCACATTGACTTGAACCTGAGAAAAGCTCCCAACTGCAAATGTTTCCATTTCCACACCTATCCTTATCTTCCTGAGTGAGAACATATTTTACCAAGGCCCCCTTACAACTCTCAGAAAAAAGATCCCTTCTACCCACAGTTTAGGCTGCATCTTAATCTAACTGCCTGAGAAGGTTCATGAGAAACTTAATAAATGTGGTCAAAAGGTGTGGTTCAGGAATATAATAGTGTCAGATGGTATTTTTCAAACTTTGGTACCAATTAGATGCAACACAATGGTTTATTTTGGTCCTGCACATCCCTTGCAATTGTTCACAGGTATTCTGCTGCAATTGTCCCACAGCATCCATATCTGGTGTGTCACACTTTTTTTTGTTAAGAGTTCTGTGATACTTCCAGTCAATGGTATGTCATATGCCCCCAAGCTTCTTGTAGTTTTTTTTTGCTTTGTGTTTTTACACAGTGATCCTGCATATGCCCAAAATACATGGAAAACCGATGAGGAGCAGGAGTTTCTCCTTTGCCGGAATGGTTAACACCGCTGCTGATTTAATGCTGGGACTTGCCTCCAACAACAGCATCAATATTGACTTTAGTGGCTGGGAGGCTATTTATGAAGGTTTTGCTTCTTTACTGAAATCAAAACTACTGCCAAAACCCAGCACCCACAGTTAATAATCACAGTACTGCTGTCTGTGATTCAGAGATTATTCTTTTTCTTGTATGTGTATATTTAAAACAGGACTGTGTACAAAGGAAACGATTGAGAAAATCATGGATGCAAAACAATATCAATTTCATATGAATCCACTGGTTTGAAAGCCAAGAATCAATGGATTTTTAGTTTATATTTGCTGTACTTTTTTTTGAGAAGTGGCCAAAAAGTGAAGGATGGAATTGGAATTTGGCCAATGCCGGGTTTTATTTGCACTACTACATCCTGGTTACAGACACAAGTACAGATACTTACCTTTTAAGCATGTTCCTCTTCAAACCCTGGTCAGTGACTGGTTGAACCAGGACCTCGGTCACATAAAACTTCATTGTCTCTATAAAGTAAATAAATTAGAAACGTTAGGTGTCTTAAATGTGTTCTTTACCACATAATCTCGCCTCATCTCCTCTCCCCTGGCACCAAAGTCAAATGAGCCTAAAACTATGTTTTGCTAAGTATATCTGAGCAGCTTTTTAAACTTTTCTTCAACAGGAAATTGACCTGCAAGAAACAAACTTGAATAAATAAAAAAACATTTTAGAAAAAGAAAAAAGTACCTTATGTTAAGATCAGAGAATCAGATTTGTTCAAAGGTATTTGAAAATGAACCTTAATGGCCCTTAGCACATACAAGTTCATTTCACCATGCTTAAACATGCTTAACATGCTTAAAAGGTAAGTATCTGTACTTGTGTCTGTAACCAGGATGTAGTAGTGCATAACCCATCAATCACTGTACACTCAACATGCAAATTAATTTTCCCATTTAGAGTAACCAGTCCCTGTCAATAGATTCCAAAGGCAGCGTCATCTCAGTCTAATAGCTGGTCTAAATCTTTAAACGTAATCAAATTAAGCCAGTGCACACTGGAGAAACAATGCCATTTTTCAGTGTCAATTTTGCGTTTCCATTCATTCGAAAGGGACTCGCCAGAACACTGTTGACTTCACAAAAACTGAAACAGCCTCAAAAGAAGCATTGCTTGGAATTTCAATATTACAATAAAACTCAATTTATGCCAAAGTACACAAACATCTAAGTAAAAGGAGTCTCCAACCCAAGAGAATAGAAACCTCGCCGGAGAAGATACAGGAAGCTGCTAAACATTAAGCAACATTTCAGTGCAGTTTAACCTTTCAAAATTGTACAGCTCAACCAGGTCAAGCCAACTACAAACAATCTGATGATACCGGCAGTTAATCCACATGGGGAAACCTTGTTCTATATATAGTAAAAACAGTCACAGATGCTTTCATAAGTGAAATGTCATCCTCAGATAGAAAACAAAATGTGGCATTTCTTAAAATTGCAGACGTCAATTCAACTCAGTTGCTAGCACTCCTGCCTCTGGGTCAGAAGGTTGTGTGTTCATGCCTCAAGTTGCGACTTAAGCACGTAAGTGTACGCCGGCAGTAGTAAAGCAGCGCATCATTGTCAGAGATGCCATCTCTCAGACAAGACATTAAGTCAAAATCCCATCTGCTTGTTTGCTGGCAGACGTCCAATGACACTATTCGAAAACAAGGGAGTTTCTCTTGCTGTTCTAATCAAGATTAATTGGTCATTCACTTCTTGGCCATTTGTAAGAACTTGCTGCCACAAAAATGACTGACATGTTTATCTACAAACAGTCACTACACTTGATAATTACTTTGGGTAACTGGGCTGCCTGTGCACTCAGGTAAACAGTATGTCCCCAGGGCACCCAGTTATAAATGAACCTACATTTTATGGGGAAGGTGCCTTTTAATGAGGTTACTAGGTGTCAGACTGATTCATCTAGTGACACTCTCGCCAAATATATGCTCCAATGCAGTACTGGTGTGTGTGGCATTGTTAGAGGTGCCATCCTTGGGCCATTAAAGCAAAATCCTGTCTGCCTGATGGACATTAAAAATCTCATATTATTGATATCATACACAGTGTCCTAGCTACTGACATCATACACTCGTGTCCTAGTTATTGGATAGTATATACTACAGTATTTTAGTTATTGGTATTAAACTACAGTATTCTAATTATTGATATTGTACACTCTAGTGTTCTAGTTATTGATATTGGACTACAGTGTCCTAGTTACTGGTATTATACGTCCAGTATGCTAGTTAATCTGAATTCAAAATATGAATTCAGCTGAATTCAGTCTCACTTTTGCAGCTGTTTTTTTCTTAAAAGAACTCACAGAACACTGGCTGTAAAATTAATTCTGGAAGTTCTGAAATGTTACTTTAATAAAGTAAATCTAGACACAGGTGGAATTTTATCCCTATGGTTTTTAAATATTTTGCAAAACCAGACTTGTTTTTTTTTAAATATCCAATGTGAGCATTCAGTCTTCTGGATTCAAGTCCATCACAATAAAGATCCCTATTCTCTACCCTAACCTCCGTCGAACACTCCTCACTGTACGAATAACAATTCTATTTCTCACATCAGTCACCTTACATCAGTGAAGGTAGTGTCAATTGGTACCAAATTAGCAACTTCAACAATTTACAATTATATAGCACCATTCATGCAAAAGAACATCTCAAAGTCCTTCACGAGCAAAAAGTGATTGAAATTTAGATGTGGCTGAAGGCAAGGAGAAAGAGGCAGCTTGTTAGAAGATTTCTGAAAGCAAGCAAAGCAAAATGATTGAGGAAAGAGCAATCAAAAGGACAGGCATGTGTTCACTTAAGGCTCAGCTTCCAATGCTAGAGGGGCAGCAATGGGGAACCCTCAGTAAACCATAGCTAGTAGAGCAGAGTGTGAGCTGAATCAAAATGTACTAACAGAGTAATGTAAGGCAGTGGAAAAAATTGGGGGCAGTTTTGTGCCCTTGTCAAGTATAATTCTCACTCATTTTATACTGGACCAAAAACAGCCAGAAGAGAGAGGAAACCTTCATCCCCATCAAATTGGGCTCAAATCAATCGCAGATTAACTTTCTGCAACACCTAAAATAGTATTCATTAAAAATTGAACGGTCGAAACAGCGCTAAAGTGATATGTTCTTGTTAAAAAACAAAGTTTTGAAAAAAGACCTCAGTGTATCAACTGCAGTTATGTCAACGTGCTGTACTGGAGAGAGTAAGAACCATCTGTCTTGCTAGACTCACTAATAACTCCAAATTTCTGCAGATCAAATCTTAGATGATGTGCTTGGCAATGGGGTAACAACGCGAAAATTGAAAATTTAGAAACAGTCATACAAGACATGCATCAAAAAGTACCTGATGCCGTGAACTCTCCCAACATCTTCCTGCAGCGTGTGCAGACAACGGCGTGACTTCCTTTTGGTTTCTGCAAAACAAAAAAAGAAAAATGAACGAGAGTATTTTCTTCAGTGCTTGCAGGAAGCAACATGAGGACCTTGCTTAGAGCTGCCACAGAATACGTTAGCATTTAATCCCATAATATCCCACACCAGAGAGGCACAAGTTTGAGACTTGCTAATTTTAGTTAGGTGATCTTAAGGGACAGTGACAAGAGATATCGGATACTGAAGAATCATCTCTTTCTCCACACATCGCCCAAGCATCGTCAAAGTCAGGCAGACAAAGGGATAATGAAAGTAGATTTTGAAAAAATTATTAAATGAAATATCATTTAATGTCTTCAGACAGGCACTTTGAGTCCAGCCCACACTTCTTGTCCAGCGCACACTCCTGCTTTCTTAGCTGGGACATGGTGCCTGACATGGAGGCACCAAAAGGTTTTGGAGTGGAAGTGGATATAATAATAATAATCATTAATTTTCTCTTACAAATACACAGTTACTACACTTCACAGTAAAATCCTGTGAAGTGCTTTGAGACATCTCGATAACATGATGAGGCATATCAAGTGTAAGGAATATTAATAACATTATTCTAACAAGGATACCCATTAGCCTATAAGAGGATGGAGAGTAAGAAAGGAATATTTCTTTCCTCACAATATTTCCATGCCTTAAATAAAACATCCACAGTTGGGTAATATGTGTTGATTTAGGGGCAGAAATCCAAGCACAGGCTTCAAATGGTTACAATTGCAAGGGCGTTGTAAACGATTCGTTTATCCTTCACAGCAGCTTAAACTGCATTCACAATTGGGTTTAAAAATAAAAATATAAAACAATTCCCCAAGGGAAGGATTTCAGTCAGTAAAAGCATCCATTTAAAATTTATGAGATATGACTAATATGCAGCTCAATGCACAGGAACATCCCAGTGACCTTCATAGCATACATGGCAGATGCGTATCTAGGGCAAAGGATCTAAATTTCCTGAACACAATGCACCAGTCAAAGAACTAATCAGAAAAGAACAGGGTGCAGATATTTTTCCCCAACACATCAACCTTCTCCAAAATTCTTCATTAGTTCACTGTCAAGTCAAACTTCCACATTCCCATTCCCTATATAGCGATCTTCACCCAGGGCATCGACTCATAGCACTGTATAGTAGGTTGAACAAGGGAAAGGGGGAGGTGACCATAGGCGCATTTGAAGAGATAAGTCTTAAGGTGAATTTAAACATAAATGCAGAGGAAGCCTGGCAGCATGATTGAGACAGTGATTTCCAAACGTTAAGTATGCAACACTGTAATAATAACAATCCTTGCATTTGATACAGCACCTTAACACGTCTTCGAGACATCTCAAAGCACTTCACAAAATATACTGTGAAGTGAATTGACTGTATATTTTGTAGGTGAAACGCAGCAGCTAATTGCACACAGCAGTGTCCCACAAACAGTTGTGGATTAAAGTGATCAATTTATTATTATTATTGAAGGAATTATTACCCCCAGAAAAACGATCTGCCAATCAACTAACAAGCGGGTTCCCTACTTACTACCAGGTAAACAGTAGCATGTGGAGTAACAAAACTTGCCCAACATTTTGCCCTCCAGGGAATCAAACCCAGCTGTATCACTTGCAAGGCGAGTGCTTGCAACTGAGCTACAGGACTCCACGAAAGCTGGATGAGAAAGTCAGGCTTGGATATTCTGGATAAATAAGTTAAAAAGGGTCAAAAAGCCTTCTTTCCTTCTCTGTTCCCCTCATGAATACAATCGTAATTTTAATCTTGGTTCGAATTCTTTTCTGTACATCTATTTAATATGGACAGCAATAGTGTAGGCTGGAACTTGAGGTGAGCTGTTTTGAAGATGGCCTAAGCAGAAAACACACCTGTACTGAATGGATTTCACCCGCGAGCTGCGAGACCTCTGATTGGCCAGTTTTCACTTCCTGTACCGCAGTTTCATCAACGTCGGCCACATTGACCAACATAAATGTGTCACCCAACAAGCAGTCATCCTCCTTTGGCTCCAACTTCTTGGCAAAGGGATCAGGATGACAGCACCAGTGTTCCACCAAATCACTCCAGTTCCCATTTGGTAAAGGGAGAACTCTCCGAAAGATCCTGCAGAAAAACCTCATGTCGTCATCTTTTCTCAGCACTTTCAGTAGCAATATTTCAAATAAATAACAACAAGGCATTTCCAGTTGAAGTCTGAATGCTCCTCACTACAATTATCCTATAAGCCTGGCTGACTGCAAGACATCACGGTACTACAGGATTGTACTGGACGTCAGAAGATCACTGCTGTCCATCTAACCTTTCCTATATAATCCTACACTGTATGTCACCCTTCCTCAATCAAATACCAATGTAATTCCCTCTTCAATCTGCTGAAACAATCGATGACCATCATCCTTCTGCTCAGAATATTCTGTATGCTCTCCCCTCCGTTGTGTAAAGTAGTTAACTGAGCCATCTCTTCTTCTCTCTGTGCTTGAAATGACGCAATAGATTTATTGGTACCAAAATGTAATAGTGTTTGTTGAAAAGTAATGGCTCATTTTAAGAAGTACAATCTTTTAACACTTTTCTGAGTATCTTGTCGTCAACCCATCCTTCCATGAATCTCAGACTTAGACTGAGTCACTCAGTAGGGAGAAAGCTAAGGGCTTGAAGCTCTAAAAGAAAGCAGCAGCACAAGGTAATTTCTGAATACAGCCTGCAAAAGTGTTTCAGCTTTTATTAAAACCTATAGATGAGAACACTCGGTTTAAAGAAAAAGGTTTAATTTACCATATCAGTAGGAATTCTGATGCAAATAATCCTTCCCCAAACCAGACTGCTCCATCAAAAACTGTCTACAACCTTTCAGTACTCAACGTTTGCTACTTCTGTTCCGCGTGTTATTTTTGTTACAGCCTCTTTTCCCTCTCTTTGAATTATTCTAGAGAGCAATATGAAAGTATCAAAATTGGTTGCCTCACTGCTTTTTAAGTAAAGACTGTCCACACGTCTGGCACTGAAAGATGAAGCTCATCTGGGCCGCTAAGCTCTTCATCGCAGTTGGAACCAGTTCTGTATAAGCATAAAAGGGGAAGTATTATTGACACAGAAGTATGGATATAGATGCAGAAATCTTCCAAATCAACTTTGATTTTAAATTGAGACTTAATCATTACAATATTATTTCAATATGCAAAATAAACATTTTCAGATTTTTGAACATGAGTTTAATTAATTCCCAGAAAATCCCAATACTTTAGAGTTTGAGTCATGCTGGGATGTCAATAATAGTTTCGTTTTAAAGACATAAACCATTTTGACTCAGTATGTTCACAGCACTGAAAGATCAATGCTATAATTTACATTTAAGCATTCCATATCCATTACATTTAACATATTTTCATGTTGGGAGTATTCAAAGGAAAATCTTCTTCAAATTTAGATAATCTTGAATGTAATTAATTTTTTAAGTTTACCATTGCAACATCAGTATGGTCCCTGGAGCTCAGTTCCTATTACTGTGCTGACATGGTTTCTAAATACAATGCTCAGCTCACAACCCTGGCTGGGAACTGTCCTGCAAGCAAACGGCTTCCACATCAGTAGATGAGACTCTAGGTTATGTGAGTTTCCTATTCATGACTTACAGAATTAATGAGGTTTTCATCAGAAAAACAGATTGAGAAAGACAATGAAATGCTGAGAGGCAGAGTTAATGTAGATGACAATGGGTGATCTAAGTTGGACTGTGCACACAGATCAGAAGGTGTGGCTTTAAAATGAATAAGTCTCAAATGAGTCTATGGTCTCTTTCCTCCTCTGATCCACAACGAGTACCTAATAAATAATAATCCTTGCATTTGATATGGGGCAAAGCATCTCAAAGTGCTGCACGGGGATTTGCTATCGAGTGCGGTGATTGCACTTGAGAACAGACCGCCAGGAAAGCAGTTAAGGCTAAATTACTTAACTCTAAAAAAGTTAATAAATAGTTAAAGTGGAAGTGATTGGAGTTCATTGGGAAAGGGAAACAGAATGAGATGATATCAAGCACTCCACAGGCTATGATGATTTCTGTAATACTGGGGTTGGGCAGGGAAATGTCCAAAGGAGGAAAAGCAGGGAAATACTGTAGGATGGCGACAGGAGCAGTTGATTAAGGTTGCCACTGTGGAATTTGGTTGGTAACTTTGGAATGCTTGGAAGAATAAACAGTATATATTATTTCCCTTTAGGAGACTGAATAAGTCAGGATAAATCCACAATTGGGTAAATTGATCACAATCTGTAGAAGCAGCCATTGTAATCTAGAACAGAAATTTTCTCTCAATTCCCTAAACTCTGAGCTCAATTAATAATAATAATTCTTGCATTTGATATAGCACTTTTCACGTCGGGAGGACGTCCCAAAGCTCTTCACAGAATATACTGTAAAGTGAATTGACTGTATATTTGTGGGCGAACGCTGCAGCCAATTGCGCACAGCATTGTCCCACAAACAGTCGTGAATTGAAAATTACCAATTTATTATTGGTTTGGGTTTTTGGAGGGATTATTATTAGGCTCTGTGTGGAGTAAGGAAACTTGCCCAAGGTTTCGCCCTCTGCCTGGGATTGAACTCAGGTCTCTCACTTGCAAAGCGAGTGCTCTAACCACTGAGCTACAGGACTCCACATGTTCCCCACCCCCACCCTCTGAAAAAATGCTGGCAGAATATCAATTGCATCCTTCCCTATCATGCAGAAATGATCAGCTATTTAAATAAATGCAAGGGGCTGAAACATGGGATCTTCCATTAGATTGTAGGAACACTTATAAATGTTCAACCAGTGAATACATTGTGTACTGGACAAGCAGATAATTATAATAACCTTGTCTGATGACAGATATGTTTAAATTACGAATTGAATTATCTCATAAAATTCAGCTCTGGTTTAGATCTAGTATGACTATGTTTGAAAAGCATGAGCAACCTGCAAGGCTGTCTGTCTCAACTTGCAACCTCATGTGTAATCCATCTGCTGCAACATATTGGAGACTGCGACAGGAGGAAGGTGCGGTCCTGACCTCTGGTGGCAAACGCAGGTACACACACTTCTCATCAGTTTGAACGTGTAGGGATGACGAGCTGAGAGAAACCTGGAACTCTGAACACTTTGTTGGGAAGCACCTGCAGAAAGAGAAGCACAAAACATTATTCTGCTAATTCTCAAGGAAGGTTTTCCCAACCGTGTTGAGGCAACTTTGTGCTGAATCCTGAAGGAATACACATATTGTTTCCACATGCAGAAACCCATTACCATGATTATGAGTATCCCAATCAGACACAAGTCTGTCTGCTGCTTACACGTGGAAATTAATCTATGTCTGAAAATGGAATGCACACTGTGACTAGAGGGACTCACCCTGCTTACTTAAGTCCAGAAAATATTACACAGGTTGGTGAGAGGCAAGGCTTAGGGACCCGACAGTGTACATTGCAGTATTGCTAGATTTCAACCAACTAAAATCGCATTGAGAGCACTGTCTGGCAATCCTCCCGCTGCTTGTCCAATAAGGACAACCTATCTGTTAGGGCTTTGACTTCCAGATTTACAGGAGCTGTGTAGGAAGAATCCTCACTCCCAGAGATTGGTCACTCCTAATCCTGCCAATAAGGTAGGCTGAGCCGTCATCAGCAGTGCCCTGGAGTCCTGCAGATCCAGCTCGTTCAGGAAGCAAATATCAAGACCAGCAGGGAGGGTTGACTCCATTCAGCCAAACAGGTCACCTTGGAATTAGTTCAGCTTCAAGGAGATCGCTCCTTACCAACACCCCCACCCCAGGACAGGAATATGCATCTGGAGTTCAATTTACTCAGAACTCATAATCCAAGTGGTACTTGGGGAACAGGGAGGTGATCAGAGACAGACAAAGTGGTCGGTTTTAAGGTGGTACTTACAGACAGAGAGGGGTGAAGACCGAGGGTTAGACACACAGCAAGCCTGAGCTAGTCGAACCAAGAAGGCAAATAGTGGAGTGGGGTAAGAGAAAGTCAGAGATAAAGTTCTTGGGTGTGGAGTGATTTATTGGTGAGGGTAACAATCCACTGAGACAAGGAGACAGGGAAGCATGGCAAGGACAGGGGTGATGGGCCTGTAGACTTTGGTGTTGATGAGGATGAACGTAAGGGAATTTTGGATAAGTCTGAGTTTATTGATGTTGGCACTAGGAACAGCAAGGAGTGCTTTTGAAACATCCAGGCAGGAAGTAACAAAGTCACGGGTAAGGAATTTGGCGGCATTTGGATAGGACGTAGGCTGGTGATGTAGTGGAGGTGAAAATAAGGGGTCTTAGTTAGGGACCGGATGCGAGGAGTGAAAGGGCTAAGGATCGAACCAGACACCGATATTACACATCTGTTTGGTGTGATTGAGGGAATTCGAGGAGGTCAGAACCGAAAGTGAGGAGACATTGGTGGGAGCCAGGGAGGATGGTTTCCATCTTCTTCATGTAGAATTGCAGGAAATTGTACTTCATCAAGGTCTGACAGGCAAGTGGACAGAACATCAATGGACCTGACCACTGTCAAGTCTGATGTTAGGCTGCACATCACTAACTCCTGTCCAGCATTGCAATGTTATCCCACAAAGTCTAAGGACCCGTAGTGGCAAACTAAAATAATTAATGACCAAATTAAATTTCACATGGAATAACAAACCACCATTAAATCAGCACAGTTTATTTGTAGATGTGATATTGCACAATATTGATATTGATCATATTTGGAACACAATAAGCTCCAAGATCACTCATACAGTAATAATACTTGGCGATTACCAACCTGTGCCAAATACTCTCTGAAATTAGATAAGCAGCATGCGCTCCAGGGAGTGCACATTCCATTCCAGACACAGGGAAATCTTCATGCGTAGGCGGCATACATATGTAGAACTCTGTCTGGTTTGGCTACTCTTAAGCATGGTGATGGGTTTATTAATGATACTTGTATTTGATGAGTGCCTTTTCACATCTTCAAGACATCTCAAAGCGTTTCACAGAATACACTGTAAAGTCAATTGATTGTATATTTTGTGAGGGAAACACAGCAACCAATCACGCACAGCAGTGTCGCACAAACAGTCGTGGATTGAGTGACCAAATTATTATTTTTGGGGTTTCAAGGCGTTATTACCCCCAGAAAAGCGATCCACCAATCGACTAACCGGGTTCCTACTTACTGCTGGAGAAACAGAGCGCAAGAGGAGTAAGAAAACTTGCCCAACGTTTCGCCCTGCCTGGGAATCAAACCCAGTTCCTCTCGATTTTCCGCATGTGTCAGCCACCCAGCTGCTATTATGGCAATATTTTTGGTTTAGATTGTGGCCTACAGACCAGTTCTTCTACTACTTTAATCTCCAGTTCTGCACATTGCATGAAAATGATGTGACAAGTAGTGTGTCACACTACCAACAAATTATCACAATCTGATTTTAAGAAGGTGGGCAAACATCATTTGAGAGCTGTGTGACAGTTTGCCTGACACAACGGGAGTGCATCACGTAGATTTGCATAGCCATACGGCAAGGAATTAGTCCATTAGGCCCAATCAGTCCATACAGTGCTTATATTCCACACAAGTCCCCACCCCTCCTATTCACCTCCTATTAAAGCATCCTGTGTGGAATCCTATATGGAGTCCTGTAGCTTAGTGGTTTGAGCACTCGCTTCGCAAGCGAGAGACCAGGGTCCAATTCCCAGGCAGAGCGAAACATGAGCAAGTTACTCCACACGCCTCTGTTTACCTGGCAGTAAGTGGGAACCCGGTTGTTAGTCAATCAGCTGATCACTTTTCCAGGGGTAATGATAGCTTTTAAAAAAAATAATTTGGTCACTCAATCCACTACTGTTTGTGAGACACTGCTGTGCGAAATTGGCTGCCATGTTTCACTCACAAAATATAGTCAATTCACTTCACAGTATATTCAGTGAAGCGCTTTGCAACGGGTACAGCTAGTAATACATTAATGAAAACACATCATAGTGGAAGAGTGAAACACCCATGTTAGTCCACTAGTAAAGAACCCCCTTGTTACCAGCCATTCCTCGTGTGAAAATGAGAATGGACAATGCCATCATTTCCTCCATACCTTTTTCGCAATGAATCTTAGCACTAGAGAGTAATGAATAAAGCAGTGAGTATTCAACACTGGAGTGTAATACAAGAGATTTTTCTTGCCATGGTTTTTGAAAATCTATATGATCAGGAATGTAACACTTAGTGTTGAAGGTTTTCTCACATCAATACTTCCCACTACTCAGCCATCAGGCATATCCCTCCCCACATTTGTTGTAACTGTTCTCCCATTCACCTCTACTCTAAATATCTCCTAAATAACAACAACAAATTACCTTCGTATAGTGCCTTTCACCTCAGGAAGACTTCTGATATTCGTTTATAAACATTGTTTACAAACAAAACATTATTTATAAACAACGTTTCATCTATTGAGTGAGCTGTGGGTGCGGAGAGAGTATACAGAAATCTACACCCAAGATATCTGTGGAGTCCTGTAGCTCAGTGGTTAGACCACTCGCCTCTCAAGCGAGAGACTTGGGTTAGATTCCTAGCAGGGCGAAACCTTGGGCAAGTTTCCTTGCTTCAGATGCCTGATAATAAACCCTCAAGAAAAAAACACAGTAACTTAGTCATTCAATCCACAACTGTTTGCGGGACACTGCTGTGTGCAATTGGCTGCCACATTTCGCCCACAAATATACAGTCAATTCACTTCACTTATATTCTGTGAAGCGCTTTGAGACGTCTAGAAGACGTGAAAAGCGCTATATCAAATGCAAGGATTATTATCCCACTTTCTCTACTAATTGTTTTTTTTAATTGAAAGTAAATACATACATTCAAAAAATGTTGTAGTTTTTGCATCAAAAACAGAATACACCAGTACTGGAAACAGTGACACTGCTCATTAACAAACAGAAAAAGGTCATTTATTGCATTTTTTTTACAGCAACTCCAATGGCCTCTTTATATAAGACTACTTAGATTTATTATACAGTACAGTGAATTTACAAACACTCAAGAGTCTGAATAGTTCTTGAATTACACTGATATAATTGCAGTAATGTAAAGCGCATGTTGTTTCGTTGCACATTCTGCAAAACAAAAACTAACCATTTTTTCAAGGAATACAATCAGAAGAGCTTTCTGTCCATTTGACTATATTGTACCTGTTCAATGAACTGATTTCTGATCTCTTAGAAGACCACGGAACAAGCGCTCCATGGGTTTATCTTACAAGGCTTGAGTCTGACTTATGCTGGCTTCAAACTCCACAATTTTGCTGTGATTATTTGGTATGAGTCTGTGTTGGGCAGCCTCGATTTGCACTTGCAGTCTTGCTCCACAGACCACCAAGTTCAAGCTGGTTTCAGATACCGCCCAATTTACTCACTGCAGTATTGACACAGCAAAATCTACAGGAGCTGTGACATCCGCAGCACTACAAAGTGAAATAAATCACAATAGAAAGGGAGTCCAGTCTGTTGCTTTCATCAAACGGTCAGCAATGTTTTTAGTAAATAAATCAGTGTGCAGCGTGAAGCAGACACCAACTCAGGATTTGCTCTGGGATTTATTAAACACACTGGATACACTATACATTACAACATTTTCACTATTAAATACTACTCAACATAAAATAAAAATTGCTTTACAAAGAGCTATGATTAGCTCCGAGCATTTACTGCAAAATAAAATAAGCAAGGCCGAAACTGTACTCGAAACGTTGCTTTATTACAGTGGGACTGCAATACTTGCAGGTAGAATTTTCAGAGAATTGTATCCCTCCAGTCATTAGTTAACCAGCACCCACCCCCCCCCCCCCAACCCACCCACACACATACCCCACCTTCCACACACACCCTACCCACACCCACACACACAGACACCCCCCCCACACACACCCACCCCCCCCCACCCACCCACACACATACCCCACCTCCCACACACACCCTACCCACACCCGCACACAGACACCCCCCCCCACACACACCCCCCCCAACCCACCCACACACATACCCCACCTCCCACACACCCTACCCACACCCGCACACACAGACACCCCCCCACACACACCCACCCCCCCCCCACCCACCCACACACATACCCCACCTCCCACACACACCCTACCCACACCCTATACCCGCCCCCACACACACACACACAGACACTCCCCCCCCCACACACACATACCCCACCTCCCACACACACCCTACCCACACCCACACACACAGACACCCCCCCCCACACACCCACCCCCCCCCAACCCACCCACACACATACCCCACCTTCCACACACACCCTACCCACACCCACACACACAGACACCCCCCCCACACACCCACCCCCCCAACCCACCCACACACATACCCCACCTCCCACACACACCCTACCCACACCCTATACCCACCCCCACACACCGACACCCCCCCCCACACACACACATACCCCACCTCCCACACACACTACCCACACCCTATACCCACCCCCACACACACACAGACACCTACCCCCCCACACACACACATACCCCACCTCCCACACACACCCTACCCACACCCCGTCCCCACCCCCACACAGACACCCCATCCCCCCCCCACCCTATACCCGCCCCCACACACAGACACCCCATCCCCCCCCCACACACACAGACACCCCTCCAACACAGAGACACCCCACACAGACATCCCACTCCCCCCCACACACACCCCACACCCCCCCCCCACACCCTAACTCCCCCCCAACACCCCCCCACACACAGACCCCCCACACCCCCACACGGGAAAGAAAGCTTTAGCAGCAGTGGTGCAGTGTGTGTTACCGGAGCACCAGGTGTCCGCTGTGTGTGTTGTTTCTGATCTCCAGGTGGAGCTGTGGGGGAGTGGGCGCCATAGGATCAGGTGAGGCCGCCCCGTCAGAGCCGGGGACAGGCGCGGGGCCGCCGCAGCTCACAGGATGGCAGCCCCGTCCCCGCAGCCACTCCCAGAGCGAGCGCCACCTGCAGGTCCGGAGCCCACACCCTGCGACACCATCCAAATGGCATCACATTGGGTCAGCGCCTCTCACGGTGGGACTGAGGGGGGGAGGGAGGGGGTGGGGACTGAGGGGGGGAGGGAGGGGGTGGGGGGGAGGGTAGGAGATGGGTGGAAGAGGAGGGTCTTGAGACGTGCCTTGAAGGAGGGAGCCTGGCGAAGGGAGTACGGGATGGCGTTCCGAAGGGGGGGGCGCGTACAATCATACAGCGCTGACCAGAGGATGATCAGAGGATCCTCCGGCACAGAAGGAGGCCATTCGGACCAGCGTGCCCGTGCCAGGACTTCAGAAGGGCTGCCCGATCGGTCTGACCCGATCAGTCCCCCTCCCCCACCCTTTTCCCCGCATGGCCTTGCAGTGTTTTTCTTTGCAAATATGCTGCGTATACAATTGCCCAGAAGCTGCTCGGGCACTGCATTCCACACCGTACTGACTCGCTGTGCGAAAACAAATGTCTCCTTCCCTCTCTGGGTCTTTTGCTAATTATCTTAATATTCTGTGTGCTCTGGTTACTGACCCGCAATTTGCATTTGATCTTACCTCAAGCAGGGTCACCATATTTTGGAAACCAAATCCGGGCACACAATATTTAAGAAAATTGTACAGGGCAGGGATAGGACAACTGCTGAGATAAGTTAACGCAGCTCAGAATGGGATTCAAACTTGCAACCTGGGTGACCATATTTCGTAAACCAACTCTGGGGACACACAAAAAATTTTAACTCGCCACATTTCCTGATGCTGGCAGTTATTGGACAAGCTTGTTGGATTAATGGCTATATTTCTCTGATGAGTGGATGTGGTTTAGAACGTTATTGTTCTTGCTCAGTTTGTTGCTGAACTCAAGAAAGGGGAAATTCGGACAGGGACTCAATACCTCATCCAGGGACTGTCCCTGATGTACGGTCACCCTATCTTGCTCTGAAGTGTAGTGACTGTATTTGTGGCCGAATGCTGCAGCCAATTTGCAGACATAGCAATGTCCCACCAACAACCAAATGAATGACTATTTTAATACGGCTTCTGAATCCTATTTTTTCAACCAGTGTCCTTGGAAGGTCCCCGGATTAAATTAATAAATTATTATTGATTTATATCAATGAACTATTAAAAAAACTATTTTACAATATCTGGCTCAGAAGGTTGTGGATGCAAGCACCACATCAGGACTTTGAGTTCACAATCCAGTCTAATATACAGTTTTGGTGGATTTCTGCCTGGGCACTGCATTAGTGGAGGTGCAATATTTTAGATGAGATATTAAACTAAGGTCCAATCTGCCTTTTCAGGTGGATGTTAAAGATCTCATGATCATTTTTGAAAAGAGATCTTCTTTGACCAAAACAGTGTCTTAGTCAACAATCTTACATATCCACATGTAAGTTCACTAACATGTTTACCAACTACAAAACATTACATTTGTATAGCGCCTTTCACGTCGGGAGGCCGTCCCAAGACGCTGGACAGTGTACAGCATTTCAGACCCGAGCTGGGGTCAGGGGGGGAGAAGGGAGGGGAGGGGAAGGAGGTGACCGATGGCGTGGTCGAAGAGGAGGGTCTTGAGGCGGGACTTGAAGGAGGCTAAGGAGGGGGCGAGTTGGAGTGACTGGGAGATGGAATTCCAGAAGGTTGGGGGCAGAGTGGCTGAAGGTTCTCCCCCCAATGGTGGGGCGGGTGGGTCGGGGGACGTGGAGCAGGCCGGAACCGATTGAGCGGAGGGAACGGGCGGGTTGGTAGGGGGTTAGGAGGTCGCAGAGGTAGGGTGGGGCGAGGCCATGGAGGGCTTTGTAGGTGAGCACCAGGATTTTGAACTGGATCCTCTGAAGGATAGGGAGCCAATGGAGTCGGGCGAGAGTGGGGGAGATGGGGTCACGGAGTTTGGTGCGGGAGAGGACACGGGCTGCAGAGTTCCAGCGGCCTGAGGGGTGAGGTAGTGGCGGAGTCGGGAGATGTTACAGAGATGAGGGAAGGCAGAGCGGGTCATGGCTTGGATGTTGGGAAAAAAACAGTTGAGCCAATCAGGAGGGCTTCGGTCATGTTCACAAATGTACAGTCAACACACTCTATAGTAAATTCTGTGAAGTGCTTTCAGACATTTTGATGATGTGATAAGGCATTATAACAAATGAAAGGATTATTATTATCCTTTAGATAACCTGATTATTCTCTTCAAGAATGTTTGTTGTACACAAATTAGTTGCCGTGTTTACTGGAAAAACACATTCACTACACTGAACAGAGGTTACCTATAATAATAATCTTTGTATTTCATATAGAGCTTTTCTCATCTTCTAGATGTTTCAAAGTGCTTCACAGAATATATTGTAAAGCCAATTGACTGTATATTTGTAGGCGGAGCATGGCAGCCAATTGCACACAGCAGTGTCCCACAAACAGTCATGGATTGAGTGACTAAATTATTATTATTTTTTTTTACAGATTATTATCCCAGGAAAAACAATCTGCCAATTGATTAACAACCAGGTTTCTACTTACTGCGAGTTAAACAGAGGCGTGTGGAGTAAGGAAACTTGCCCAACATTTCGCTGCTGGGAATCGAACCCAGGTCTCTCGCTTGTGAGGTGAGTGCTCTAACCACTGAGCTCATATATATGAGGTATTTTGAGATATTTTGACTTTACTCACACTAGATCTAAATGTAAAGTTTATTATCATTGTATTACACTTCTCTTTCCAAAAAATTGTATGGAATATTTTGTATTGCATATCTAACAATATTAACTAACTGGTTCAAAAAATAAAAAATACACTGTACAGGTATATCTATCTACTGATTGTGCCATAAGACCTGAACAAATTCAACATAATGTGACAAGACTTAAATCACTATACAGTTTTTAATTCAGCAAAAACAATAACAGCTTATAAAGTGCCCTTCATGCAGGATAGGTCTCGGAGCGATGCAGAATTTTACTAGTGCTTTAGCAATGTAGCCAAACAGTTCAATATAATCTGCAACCACACTAACAGTTACATTTGTATAGTACCTTTCACCTATGGAGGACATCCCAAAGGGCTGGACAAGAATGTATACCCAAGCTAGAGGTTGGGATCAGGAGGGCTGAAGGGTGGGAGGGTGACAGAAGGCGCGGTTGAAGAGCAAGTTCTTGAGTCAGGCCTTAAAGAAGGCAAGGGAGGGAGCAAGGCGAAGGGACTTTGGGATTGATTTCCAAAGGGTGGGGGCAGAGAGACTGAAGGCCCGACTGCTGATGGTGCGGCTGGCAGGGCAGGGGATGTGGAGCAGACTAGAGTTAGCAGGTCACAGAGGTAGGGAGCAGCAACGCTGCGGAGGGCTTTGAAAGCAAGAATGAGGATTGTGAATTCTATCCTCTGGGGGATTAGCAGCCAGTGGAACCGCGTGAGGATGTGGGTGATGGGTTCACAGAGCCTGGTACGGGAGAGGACATGAGCTGCAAAGTTCTGAATAATCTGCAGCTTGTGGAGGGAAGAGTTGGGAATATCAACTCTTGCAGATACCAATTTGAGAAAAGATAAATCTTACAAATAGCCCTTCAGGACTTTTGAACAAGATCTCTGGATCACAGTACATTTTACCCTTTTATGTCAGAACATGCAAGTTACGTGAGAGGGAAGTATCTTCTGTTTATGATGTACAAAAGGAACAAATGGTTCTTTAAAACAGTCATATATGGGTGCAGGGATTCCTCATTTATTTCTACGTGGGATCAGGACTGATGAACAAATTGGGGTATTATTTACATGTCACTCTGCCAGGTATCTTTTCTCTAATGGTAAAATGCTAAACGTGGCATGATAAATTCTCAGTTCTATGCATCACCATCCCATTCACAAGCATTTGAGAAACTTCTTCAAACAATACCAATAAGAAATTCCAGGCAATAACATCATTATTGTAGTGATCCTGGATGTTGTAATGCTGGCTGCACAATGTCAGTGTTGGTGGATTTACAAGTGGGGGTACCTCTGGTGAATGAATCGGTAGAACTGATTTCACATTGTGTGAAAATTAGTGGAAGAAGTCAAAGAGCCATTTTTAAGTGCTTTTAGATCTTTCAATTCAGATTTTCTTCTCAACAGATCACTTTTGACATTAACTTGATTGAATCTTTGACCTTGCTGACCATATCGCTTGGCCCAGAATAGTTCACAGCGTTTTGTCAAAAGGTAGCTCAGCTCGCAAATATTCAGCACAATACAAAGTCCCGAGGAGATAGCCATGAAATAGAGAAAGATAGTCTTCTCTGTTGGCCGACCAATAAAACAATCTACCACATTGGGGCAGGGTTTGACCTCACATTTCACAATGTGAGGAAGAGAAAATCCTTCATAAATCCAGTTAAACATAATCAAAAAGCCAACCTCGACTCCGGATTTGAACAGTAGACTAAAAACATAAGTCCACCACAGGCCCCCATCTATGTTCCCTTTGTCTACATACAATTTCTTGTGATATTTCTTCTCCCTGTTCTCCCTGTAAGCCACATGCATGACAACCAAAAGGGAAGGGGTGGAAACCATAATAAGTTGCAGTGCCCAAAGTCTTGCTTGAGACACGGGAAAGAAGTGGTCAAAACACACATTTTCACAACCAGGCTGTTTTGAGTTACACGTGAATTCCTTCTGCTCATCATTCCAGACACGCTCAGCTGCCACCACGTAGATAAGGACTCGGAATATGAACATAACAGTCAGCCAGATTCGGCCCAGTGCTGTGGAGTATTTATTCACTCCACTCAAAACATCACGCAGTAAACTCCAACTCATTGTTCCTTAATAATCCGGAGAAGAGTCTGCAAAGATAAAAATTAGCATTTCAGAAAGAATGTACTGTATAGTTCATTGAATTAACACCAAGGATAGCAATAGTGCTGGGATGGAGAAGGGGACCACACATCCTTTGCACTATACACTTCGACACATATTTTCCAGTTCATCACAAATTTTTCATCTAAACCAGTGAGTCATACTATATATTACATGCGTGTGCAAAAGTGGAGCTTTGACTGACAGAATCAGATCACTCCCTGCCCCTGAGCTAGTTGGATTAATAACATTTATTTACATGGCATGTGAGCCTTATTTACATAGATTTACAAAATGTACATAGATTATGTAGCACAGAAACAAAACATTTGGCCCAATTTGTTTGCGCTGGTGTTCATACTCTCTCATTACTCACACTCACTCATTACTCCTACCCATACCTTTCTATTCCCTAGGTATCCTTATGTGCAACAACATTAATAATAATTTACATTCATGTAGGGTGGCATCTCAGAGACTTAATACTATGTACAATGGCAAAATGTAATCTACAAACAATTGCTATCAATTTATTTTTTGATTGACAACTCTCCACCGCCAGAGAATAGAACTCAAAATTGTCATCCTCAACTTCAAAGCCTGCTACGGCCTTACTTCTCCTTACCTCTGTAACCTGCTAACCCCATATTAACCTGTCCACTCCCTCCATTCATTGGCGTACTCCAAGTCCCCTGCCTGGCCCACCCCACCATAGGCGGTCAGGTTTCAGCCTCTCTGCCCCACCCTTTGGAACTCCGTTGCACAATCCCTTCACCTCACTCCCTCCTTTGCCTCCTTCAAGACCCGTCTCAAGACCCTGCTCTTTGACTGTGCCTTTGGACACCCTCCTACCCCTACCCTCCCTGCCCTCCACCTCTCCTGATCCCAATTCCCAGGTCCAAATCACTGACTGTCCAGCACCTTGGGATGTTCTGCCGACGTGAAAGGTGCTATACAAATGTAATTTGTTGTTATTTTGTTTCCAGGAACAATATGATTTGTTGTTAATTAATTTATTTTAATTTAATTTAATTAATTTGCAATTCATGGCACTAAGTCAATATTTTGGTAAATTGTAAATTAACAAATCAAAATGATTAATAGCAATAATAATAATTCTTGCATTTGGTGTTCAGTATATACAGTAAAGTGATTATCTTGTGAAGCATTTTGGGATGTCATTCTGATGTGAAAGACGAGATGTTTTGTGGGCGAATGTGGCAGCCAAGTTGTACACAGTAATGTCTCACAAAAGCCATAGGGTGAATGACCAATTATATTTGGGGGATTGTTGTCCAGGACACCAGGAGAAATTCCCCACTCTTTTTAAATAGTGCCATGGAATCTTTAATGTCCACTCGAACAGACAGTTGGGGTCTCAGTTTAACGTTTCATCCGAAGGTCAGCACCTCCATCAATACTGCAGAAGCCCAGCACTGAACTGGATCATTGGCTAACACTATATGAATTCCAGGACCCAACTTGAACCCACAATCCTCTGACTCGAGAGTGCTGCTACTGAGCCAGGCTGACAATTTAGATTCCATGAAAGAGTCCAAAATAAATCCTAATGAAAACTATTTTCACTGACAGCTCATCTCATATCAATTGAATAGTTTGGGCACTCATTCTTCTGCTTTATCTATCATGGAGAGCAGCAAAAGATCAGGTCAGCTAAGCAGGTGGGAAGGAAAATGCCTACAAGCGTATGTCAGCAGCCAGCCCAGCCAGCACTCACTCCCCATTATAGTCAGTGGGAGAACAGAAGGTGAGTGTGTTATTAAATTCATCATCTATCAGTAATTAATGTGCACAGCTTCTTTCATTGTTTCAATTACAATGGGAAGCAATATCGAGTGTCAAACAGCATTCATTGACTCCTGCTCATGAGCAAACACAAACATTTCTAACTGAGATAATTAAAAAAGAGTCTTTGAAAGGAAATATACACGTAATCGAAAACATGACAATGAAATGAAATTGAAGCAGTGAATATGACTAATTTACAAGAACCCCGGAGTAGATTCAGAATCCCTCAATCGAAAGTTACCAGTCAACTAAGAAAATGAATGAAAAATCATTTCTAGATGCTCTTTAATCTCTGCTAGATTATTTCATTTATCTCTGGTTTGATATGAGCAAATACCTCATTAAATATGATGGTTGCTGTGCAAATGGGCCTGGAGAACAGTTAATGTTTATGGAGGGTGGGAGCTCTTTGAATAGTGGACAATGTGTGTGGTGAATAAATATTTCACAGTTTTTTTTTAATTTTGTTACCTTTGCAATCAGGGTGTGTCCAAGTAGAACTTCCCTTTGACAGAGAGTGGGTTGGGTAGAGTTTACAAAGTTGTGCATTGTCTATGGAAGTAGCAGTACAGCCATTCACTGAATGGCTATTACTTGTTCCGCGCTTTCTTATGTGCCTATAGATTTTATAGCACTTTAACACAAAATATATTTCACAGCCTTTTGTGCTTGGTAAATTTCCAATGAGATTTTCACTTTCAAAATCTGAAATACTTCTTTTATTTATACAGTATTTGATTTATACAATAATAATAATTTGCATTTATATAGTGTCCTTCACATGTGGAAGGTCTCAGAGCACCGTATAAATGCAAATTGTTGTTTTATAAATCAAATACTGTACATAGAATTATGTGTCCTATAAATTCCTGTTGTGTTTTCATTTACAATCACCGCTGTGATGCATTGCATTAATTGTTTCTTCTTTCTCCCCCCACCGTGATTCCTCTGGTCATCTCAGGCTACCCAATAGCTCTGCCTGTTAAAGTGGAGAGTAAACTTATTTTTTGCTAGCTTGAAACCAGGCGAAAGTGTAATAGGAACAAAGTCTGAGGTAGGTCCTCCCTTAAGTTTGAGGCTGCTTTGCTGCTCAAATTTCACATTATATGTTATAGAAAAAATATGAGCTGATGTTTTAAAGTCTGACTTTTTGGGAGCTTATTCAATTATTCCATATTGCAACTTTTTGCATAGTTTACTACATTTAATGAATTGATAAATAGCATTTATGAATAACTGCAATGCAATTTTAGACCTACAATCTAATTTTATGTTTATAACGTAAAACTATTTATAATTTAATAATCCTTGCCTTTGATATAGCACCTACAATGTCGAAGTACTATAAATGAAATCAATAATAATCCTTATATTTTTGATACTGTATTTGGTATAATGCCTTTCATATCAGGAGGATGTCTCAAGATGCTTCACAGGATAAAATCTAACTTTAGGCGAATGTGGCAGCCAATTTTAGCAAAGTAATGTCTCACAAACAGCCATGAAATGAAAGACCAATTTTATTTGGGAGATTGTTAGTCAGGACAAACTCCTTTCAAAAACTCCCTGCATATTTTGTAAGCAAATACGGCAGCCAATTAAGTGAATAATGAATTTACCTGTTGGCCATCTGGACAGGCAAACCCATCTTTCCACAGTGACACAATTCTAAGATCTGGGACTCTGCAGTATGGTCAAGCATGTATGGTCTTTTCACCTTGTGCTGGTGTTCTGACAACACTGTGCCACTGTGTTAACAGATGTAATGTCAGATAAGATGGATTTTCCTTGTCTTGGTTTTCACAAGGAGGATTTCTTCTATTTTGTTGATTTGAGTTGTTTTTTCCTATTTGAAATCCATTTATCAATGTGGGATTTATTTATTTTTCTTCAGGAAAGCTATCCATATTCCTTCATCACATTTGTCAACTGCTTGTGTCTGAGCTAGTCACCTTTAATCCATTGTGAACTATAGTACTATAGCGATAAGTATCTCCCTTCCCGCTACTATTGTTTCTGTAGACAAAATGATTCATGTTTCTTTGAAGTTTCTCCCTCAGGCTTCCTCTTTCCCTGGTAATTGATCTTGTCTTATACCTTTTTATTGTGTAGCCTTTTATAATACCTTGATAGGGTTTTGTCAGCTTGACTCAGTTCGTAACACTCACGCCTCTGAATCAGAAGGCTCTGGATTCAAGTCCATGTCTTGACTGTGAACTTACAGTCTATGCTGACACTCCAATGGAGTTCTGGGGTAGTACTCCATTTTTGGAGGTGCCATCCTCCAGATGAGATATTAAACTGAGGCTTTATCTGCCTGTTCAGGTGGACATCAAACATCCATGATTTTAAAAAAAAGCAAGTTTCTTCGAATGTTCTGTTCAACAATCCCCCAGATAAAATGGGGCATTCATTTCATGGCTGTTTGTGGGACATTGCTGGGAACACTTTGGCTGCCACATTTTGCCTACAAAAGAAACAGTAAATGCAGGATTCATAATAATAATAATAATCCTTGCATTTGATATAGCGCTTTTCACGTCTTCTAGACGTCCCAAAGCACTTCACAGAATATACTGTAAAGTGAATTGACTGTATATTTGTGGGCGAACGCGGCAGCCAATTGCACACAGCAGTGTCCCAACAAACAGTCGTAGATTGAAAATGACCAATTTATTATTGTTTTTTGTTTTGGAGGGATTATTATTAATAATAAATCCTGTGAAGCACCTTGAGACATCCTCCTGACATGAAAGGCATATATCAAATGAAAGGATTATTATTAGTTGCACATGCTAAATAGAGAGAAAGAATGGCTATTTAGCAGCATGCAAGATTTTGTTCTTACATTGATTGGATGTGGAGCGGATCAGGATACATTGGCAGATTGGTTCATGTGGAATCATGTGGAACCTGGCTGCTAACTCAGGTTGCCACTGGTCAGGATTTGGAATGGACAACATGTGAGCTATGCGGAAATTTCTAACATGAACAATGAACATCAAATGTTTGAATTTTAAAAGAATCCATCTTTTTGATTTCCTTCTTAAGGACTGAGATATTAAGGTTGTTCAAGCCTTAAATATTTGTTGATCATCAGGAAAGCAAACTTCAGAACTCAAGCTGTGATCTGGTCCCTCACTTGCCCCGGACTCAACCACAACTTGTATTTATATAGCGTCTTTCATATAAGAGAACATCTCAAAGTTCTTTGCAGCGTGAACCTTGAGTAAGATGGGAGATGACCGAGGTTTTTTAGACAGGTTTTCAAAGCAGAGCTAAAGTGAATGAGATTCAGGGAGAGCGTTCCAGGAGAAAAATAACTGGGGGAGGGGGGTGGGGGCAAGTAAGCAGACCAGAGTTGGTGGAGTGGAGGGGAATTGGATCACAGCAGATCACAGAGAATGAGTGAAAAAACCATGACGGTTTTTGTAAGTAAGGATAAGGATCTTAAAATCAATCTATTGAATGAGAAGGAGCCGTTGGAGTCTGACAATGAGGGAGATGTGCTTATGGAGCTTTGTACAAGAGAGAAGGTAAGGTGCCTAGTTCTGAATAATATGGAGGCTGGAGCTGGGGAGATCAGCAACAGGGGCAGTGGAGAATTAATCTTGAGATGATGGGTTTCCTCTGCATTGGGGTGAGGTAGTGTTGGGGGCGAACATTTTTTGCAGAGATGTTTGATTGTAAACATGGTAACTTCATTTCTGCACCAGTGCCAAAATTCAGAGATAAGGATCTCAGGACTTACCTGGGCTGTCTGATGTTAGCGTGCTGAAGGCGTTTCCCACCACCATTACTCCAGGCTATTTGTCTCAAGTGGAATCAAACAATACCAGTGGAACAAGATATCATTGCATCGGTGGATGGTGGGGTGAAGTAATGATGGATTTGCAAATTATTCAAATGTGAAGATCAGCATTTATTTTCCAATAGATGAGAAATGTACACACAAACCATGTGAATAAAGGTTGACTGGTCTGACATTTGTTTTGCTCAAGTGGTTTTCCAAAGTGGGCTACAGTTCCCTTTACAAAACCAGCTGCTCTTTTGTTTTCAACCTTTGCTTTCTCTCTTCCCCTCAGTAATGCAAATCCAAACAAAATGAAACCATGCAATACTGGAAATGCACCGGAGATAAATGAGCATATGAACATGAAAGGCAAATTAATGCTTTAGTTGTCAACTATTCTAAAGAAGAATCCCACCAAAAACATTATCATGCCTTTTCTTGTCGTCTTCTGGTCCAGCTCTTAGGCTGCCAATCCTAGTTGCCATCCTTTGGATAAAATCTTAAACCAAGGACCTGTCTGCTGTCAGGTAGACTTTGAAGATCCCACAGTACTATTGGAGAAGAGAGGACACAGTTGCAGAGTTCTGGATAGTCTCCAGCTTGTATGGGGAAGAGCCGGATAATCTGGCAAGTAGAGGGTTGTCATAGTCAAGCCTGGACTTGACAAATGCATGGAGAAGGGTCGTGGTGGCCCGCAAGGAGAGTGAGTGGCAGAGGTGAGCAATGTTACAGACAACATGCATTCCTGTTGGCACCTGCTGCACTTATTCAGCTAATTTGATTTTTCATTGCTTTCCATGACAGAGACAAAAATACAGGCTTAGGTTCACAAAGGGCAATTTTAACACAAACACCAGGAAGTATTTCTTTACCAAGTGAGTGATTCTTGGAAGAGGTTTCCAGGAAGGGTCTTTGAGGTCAGCATGTTGGTCTCATTTTAAAAAATATTTGAAAAATGTGAATGTGTCATTTGATACCTTGAAGAGGGGTTTCACTTGGGAACAAAATGTATGGAAGGCCAGAGCTAAGAAATTAGGACTGTGATATGAAGACCATACTAAGAGTGACAATTCACAGGAGTTGACAGAAGAGAGGTTGCAGTGGTGAGATCTTGTCACATTTTACAAAACCTGGTTAGGATAACTGATTGAAAGAGGGAAATAAGTCCATATTTATTATAATAAAAATAATCCTTACATTAGATATAGCATCTTTCATGTTGGGAAGACATCTCAAAGCACTTCAATTTGTAGACAAAATATTCTCCCTAAGATGTGCTTGTAAGTATACAAACATTATATTTTTTTGTTTTAAAAAAAGCCAGGAAAAAGCAATCAGAACTTTAAGCCTTACAATAAATGAAGGAAATTGTTCACAACTATGAAAGATAGTATCACCTTACAATGGAAAATAAGTCATCGGCAGTTAGGCACACACAATAACTATGAGTTTAAGTGGCTCATATTCAGGATGATCCACTAATTGAAATGCGTCAGTTCTAAGCCATGCTTTGTGTTTATTCAAGGGCTTTGCTGCCCAGACAACAGTAACGCAGCTAAACTGAATAGTTACAACATTGATCGTGGTAGAAAGCTGAATAATACATTGAGGCGAGAACACGTCATAATAAGATCTTGCAGAATACTTAATACAATAAAACTAGCATAACTCTTATCTTGATAAATCATATAATCACCTAAATTGTACATGCGCCCAAGTCCCATTCACTTTCCTACCAAAAACCGAGTAGATTTCTTTGAACTAGTCGTATTTTACAAAACAAATCATCTCCTAACTCGTAACACTTACATTCTGCATTGAATTGTGTGAAATTAAGTTCTGACCCATCGGCGCAAGCGCACTTATCGGCTGCATTAACAGTGTAGATTATTGATTAAATTGGATTTCATACAGCTCCGGAAGTTTGTTTGTAACTTTGCGTAAGTCATATTAAATGTTATGGTCCCGACTGGTATGACTTATGTGAGTTTTACTGTACACCACAAAAAATAGGCTTTACCCTGAACAGTATAAAATTCATCATAGAGTTGTGGAGGTGAGGAAAGTGCAAAACATCCCGGAGTCCCATAGCATAGTGGTTAGCGTGCTCGCCTCACAAGTGAGAGGACCCGGTTGTTAGTCGATTCGCGGATCACTTTTCCGGGGGTAATGATCTCTTCAAACCAAATAATAGTAATAATTTGGTCACTCAATCCATGAGTGTGTTTGTGGGATACTGCTGTGCGCAATTGGCTGCCGCGTTTGGCCCACACAACACACAGTCACTCCACTCACAGTATATTCTGTGAAGTGCTTTGAGACAACTCTCAAAGATGTGATAAGGCACTATATCAAACACAAGGATTATTATTGTTATCATTCACTTTATGGCTGTTTGTGGGACATTTCTGTGTGCAAATTCGCTGTTGCCTTTACCCACAAAACGTACAGTCACTCCACTTTCCAAGCACATCCTGCGAAGCTCTTTGAAAAATTCTCCGACGTGAAAGCCTGCTATAGCAAATGGTAGAAATCTTATAATTATTATAAGAATCCTATTTGACACAACCTCTGGCATGAAGTGCCTGCAGCAGTGGTTCTAGCAGCTGCTTCCTCCAACACCCACAATAGCCCATTGCCAGAATGAGTAAAGCTGTCTGCAGTTTTTTTTCTTATCTTTCAATAGAATTCTATTTCTGTTTGGATCGCACGTCACAAAAGAGGTTGAGATGAAAAATGCCCTTCAGCCCATTTGATCTCATTGTTCCAGAATATCAGCCCTACAATTTTCTTAATGCAGAATAAAGCTACTTCTTCAATAAATCTGATGTCCTGGTACCTACCACCTTTCTTATTAATCCATTCCATTCTCTGAGTAGCAATATTTTCTCTCCTGAAACACGGAAAAACCTTTTTTTAACTGAGTTAGAAGTTGTATAATGGATCAATAGCAAACTGATGTGATAGGGAGAAAAATAACTTGTACAGAATTTGAGCCCGATCTGCTTCACTAACCCTTTTCTGACATTTGCCTCTGTTCATCTGCTCCCTAGTTTATTTTTGGGCTTATATCCATTCTTTCTGTCCTTATCGTGTGTCTCTTTAATTATACCTCCGGCCACCTCTCCCTGATTCCCCCTATCCCCTGTTTCGCCCACAAAATATACAGTCAAATCACTTTACAATCTATTCTGTGAAGCGCTTTGAGACGTCTTGAAGATGTGATAAGGGGCTATATCAAATACAAGGATTATTATTATTATTATTTCTCTCCCAGCTCAGGCTCTCACTCAGTGTTTGTAAAGTGCTTTGAGATGTTCTTCCTATGTGCATGCGCTTGTTGTTATTGTCGATATAAACATCATGCCCTGGAAGCGTTCAAAAGAACCAAACTTTATTCAGATGGATATAGTTTTTAAGTTATCGGATTTTGGAAAGCCCTTTTCCTGTTGAGAGTGTACCTGTTCAGCGCAATTTTGGACAATCTCTAACAACAACTAAAAATGTATTTTATGTTAGAAACATAAAATAAACTGGAGTACTTTAATAATAACATGCATTTATATAGTGTTTTTTACATAAAATGACTGCCTCGGAGTATTTGATAAATGAAATTCATTAGAAATGAAAGTAATTTTTATATAGGCACCTGCTGCTAGCAGCTAGTCTGTACTAACAGTGTCCAATAAACAATATGAGTTGCCAAATGAATATGGTACAGTGGATAAATGCACTGCCCAATAGTCAATACTGTCCAGAAAATCACAAGTTTGAAAATAATAACATAATAATAATCCTTGCATTTGATATAAATTCCAAGTATATGCCAGGGAACAGGAGAGCAGCATCTCTGCTTACTGTGTGAATCATACATTCTGCAAGCATTGCCTGTATCAAACCATCACACATTGCTTCTCCTGCCTGTGGAATGCTCTCCCCCTAAAAAAAAGTGAATTGACTGTATATTTTGTGTGCTGATTTAACTGATGTTGGCCAGAATAGGCATCCAGAGAACCTTGTCACAAAGTGCATATGTGAGCAAAGGATAAGGCTTCAATTACTATGATGCCTCCTCAGAGTCCAAAATTCCAAAAGTCCAATAACCAACTCACGCTCACTGTCAAGAAAATGGCCAGTTGGGTGAGATACGGGGGTGACCAGCTGGTCTATGAAGCCATATCCCAGATAAAGCAAAAGGGCTTTCAGAGAGGAGGAGGGGGAGAGAAAATCGGAGAAGAAGGAGGAAATGTTGCTCGTCAAACAATTCAAGCATGTGACATGAACATTTGAAATAATCCACAACACAAATGTGACCAGACCTTCCGCCCTACCACAAATATTATTTCTAATTACAGTGCACATGTGTAATAATTTACCTTACCTGTGTTGATGATACAAATAGGCTCCAGACCAGCACTCCAGCTCATTTACACGATAAGGTGTTAAACTCATCAATGAGTATATTGAACAAGTGGAAAGAAATGCAATTCTTTACAGTGCTATCTGTTTCATTCTGCATTGAAAGTGTACACAGTTGCAAACGCCCTTCCCATCCTGTCACCGAAACAGGTGTAACCTGAGCTTGTGTTCCTCTAGTTCTCCTGGGTAACTACCTCAATAATTCAAATTCGAACCACCCAGTACTCAAATGGTTTCAGTTCTCTGAAACTATTAACTCTATGAACACCCGGGCGCTCTGGTTTAAAAAGATTTATTTTTCTCTTCAATTTTCGGCTTTTTGTTTCCTCTATATTCCTGAAGGTGATGGCTCTTCCTCGAGTACCAGGTCTCTTCCTATTTCTTGCCCACTGAAGGCACATCAGGTGTTCCCAAACAAAGATTCTGTTGCCCACATCACTCAGGGAAAGTGTTTCAATACACCCGTCAATATCATTGGACAATGCTCTGTGCTACAATCATGTAGCCATTGAATGGGGAATTTGTTTAGAAGATTATGTTGAACTGAGAAATCTTGGAGTTGATTCCTTCCAAGTCCTGGAAAGAGGCTTTATGAGAAAAGCTTTCAAGACACTCTGTCACACAGTGGCATGGCTCAGAGAGCATCTTACACTAAAGTGTCCAGTTTATAATGGACATTTGGAACCAGCTCACAGAAGAGACGTTTAGCCCATCATACTTGAACCCAAGTCCCAGAAATAAAATACCAGTATAATACCAAACCTGTCCCTCTCCAATCCCAGAAGGTAAATTGGACTGTGTATGATCGATAGAGTAGGATTATATATTTATTTTTATCTTAAGATCAACAGGGTGGACTATAATAGTTAATTCTGATCCTGTACATTTTAATGTCACTTTGATTTTTGCTTACTGACAAAAGCTTTTTATGAAGCTTTTTTGTACTAAACTGTGCCTAATGCTTCAGTGGAACAAAGCAGGTATAGGCTAAAGAGGCACATTTCTATTTATGGTTCCCCAAAACAATTGTAACAAGGTCAGTTGTTTCACAGAACTGAGTCTAATAATTTTCTGAACAGAAAGCACTTGGAGAAGTGGACACCTGGTTTTCCCCTAATCTAATGTATATTTCAGCAAAGTAAGCTGCTGATGGCTAACCATGCATTTAAACGTTTGTTTACAAAGGACACAATTCTAGGCAACAGCCCTGTCTGGGGGAGAGCATTCCACAGGCAGGAGAAGCAATGTGTGACGGTTTGATACAGGCAATGCTTGCAGAATGTATGACTCACACACAGTAAGCAGAGGTGTTGCTCTCCCGTTCCTGGCATATACTTGGAATTCTCAGTTTTAATGTTACCAAATTTGGTTTCCTTAATCATCCAGATCCAAATACAGTGCAACCTTATGCCTTGCTGTGTAAACTTCAAAATCTGTGCTCCACTGTTATAAGTAAAAAAAAACAGAAGCAAACCCATGTCATGAATCTAAATTAGCTGGAATTTGTGCAATTGTGTTTTCTCTCTCATGTTCCTCCTTTAACTACTCATGCTGGGGTAGTTTTAAGGTTGCCATCTACTCTGCATTCTCCCATCATTCGTGCAAACATCCGTGCAAACGCTACCAGTAGAACGTAGTGACAAGGAACATGTGGGTTCAATTCCCAACAGGGTGAAATGTTGAGCCGGTTTCCTTACTCCACACGTGTCTGTTTACCAAGTAGTAAGTAGGAACTCGCTTGTTAGTTGATTGGTGGATTGCTTTTCCGGGGTAATAATTCCTTCAAAAAATATTAAGAATAAATTCGTCATTCAATCCACGACTGTTTGTGGGACACTGCTGTCTGCAATTGGCTGATGTGTTTCGCCCACAAAATATACAGTCAATTCACTTTATAGTATATTCTGTAAAGCGTTTTGTGATGTCTCGAAGACATAATAAGGTGCTATATCAAAAGCATTATTGTTTTATCCTCCTTAACCACGAGACTGGGTACAATTTAGCCTCCTCATGCAGCCTCAGTTGAGACTGGCAAACTCAGCACAGATTGGAATTCAAACCAACAAGTTCCTGCTGCATTAGCTGTGGCTTAGTCCACTAGACCACCAAGGCTGCCCTACACTCTGGCACTTCTAACTATCAAGAGGGACCATTTATCTTCCAGCCTCAGTAGAGGGATGAAGATCCACTCAGGATAGATGATAACAATCTCCAGAGGCAACAATGGCACTTTCTTTACGCTATAAACATGCTATTTGTGACTGCTTCCAAGTGAACATCTTTGTTATGGGAATAGACATCTAAAGTTGAGAAACATTATGTGTTTGGTTTTGTGTATAATTTTCTCACGCAAATACTTTCTAATTGACAAATCAGGGAAGCAAAAACGGAACTAATGCTTTGTGAAATGGTTTCACTATTCGAAAGGTATTTGATAGGAGCCTTTATCATTTGAATTGCATATTTCAGATTCTAAATCACAACCCTCCTTTTGTGTGACATTGTGTTTAAATGCTGCAAATAGCTGCAAGATTGTGAAACAAGTTAATTTCCTCTTTCAAAATGCAACACTTCAACTACTGATGTAACAAAAGCTGTAGGTGTTAGTTACAGCTAAACATTACAAGTCCCTTATCATATGAAGAGGATTATAAGAGAGGTTTTGATGAAAAAGGCACTTCAGACTTTTTGATTACATTCTTCCAGATTACCCACCCTACACACCTCCCGTCACAGTATCAAACTGTCTTTGCCTGGTACAAGACCTTAGGACTTGGACTTCGAGAACATCAAAAAACACTCAGCTCCCTGCAAGCCAAGGCCCTAACGGGTAGGTACTCCTACCGGGACAAGCAGTTTCTCAGACAGTACACTCAATGGCAAGCTCTCCGCTTTTGGCTGGCTAGACTCCAGTATCGCTGCAACACACACTCTTTGTTCTTGCCAGCCTATGCCTAATACTCTCCCGAATTAGGTAAGCAGCATGGGTCCTGCTACAGTAACTTGCATTTATCGTTTTTTAACTTAATGTTCCAGGTTTCAGCCCATGTACATACCCCGTCAAGGTCTCTAAGTCCATTGCTACTGCCTTTGTTCCTCCAATCCTTGATGTCATCTGCAGTTTTAACTGTCTTGCATCAAGTCTGCAAATCCAGGTCATTAAAAAATACAAGGGGGAGGAGGGGTTGATGGCCTGGTTGACTTCACTCCCCAATCCCTGCTCACTGCACCCGAGCACCAGCCCAGCCCGTGCACCGCAAGTACTGGGGGAGTTGTGGTCGTCCGGGGGTCACCATCAGCAGGTACACAACAAGTGTATCTGGGACGCTACCCTGCATGAGGAGCACTATATAAATCCAGTTGTTGTTGTTGTATCTCAAGCCAGCACCACTTATTCCCATTCCTCTTGGCTCAGTATCTATGTTTAAACATGGATTCTGGGTTAAAAATCTTCTCACCGTTTGCTAGTTTTGAAAACAACAATAACTTAATAATAATAATAATAATCCTTGCATTTGATATAGCGCTTTTCACGTCAGGAGGACGTCCCAAAGCGCTTCACAGAACACACTGTAAAGTGAATTGACTGTATATTTGTGGGCGAACGCGGCAGCCAATTGTGCACAGCAATGTCCCACAAACAGTCGTAGATTGAAAATGACCAATTTATTATTGTTTTGGGTTTTGGAGGGATTATAAACTTGCATTTATTATAGTGCCTTTCACTCAGGATAGCATCTTAGAGCGCTGGAAAAGTCACTGTGCTACTCACATCCATCAGCTTCCCTGAACCCTAAATAGAGATATTCACAGTTAGTAGCAATACTTTGTATCACTATCTACTGATTATAATAATAACTCTTGCATTTGACATAGTGCCTTATCATGTTGTTGAGGCATTGCAAAGTGCTTCACAGGATATACTATAAAATGGATTGACTGTTTATTTTGTCGGCGAAACCTGGCACAGTATTGTCCCACAAATAGTTGTGGATTAAGTGACCAAATTATTATTATTATATCACAATTTATCTTACAAAACCATGAGTCAGTGCTTTTAGGAGAAAAGGGAGAAAATCAGAGGGGAAAGAAAGCACCCAAATTATTGTGTTTATCTTCTAGGTTGTTTCACATTCATTTCCCATGGATCCAGATATGGAGTGTGCTGAGGCCGCTGGTGCTGGGATCCTACTCGGTGAACCTCACAAGGTGGAGTTCAAAGCTCTGGCAGCAACATCAAAACAACTGTGCAAGTGTGAACTCACAATTGTATAAATGAGACCTTCTTTACGGAAAGAGTGTACAGGTGACAATACAAAGATTCAGGCTGCTCATCTCGGCAGAGAAACTCATAGGGAGCAAAAGGGATTGTTTATCTCACAGCTGCATTGGAAGGGTAAAGATCCACCCAATGATATGATGGTAACAGCCTCCAGAGGCAACAATGGCATTTTATTTATACAGTAAATATGCTATTTGTGATTGCTTCCCAGTGAGCAGTTTTGTTATGTGAACAGAAACAATGTACTGCCCTTTGTGCTTATTTTATTTTATCTAAGCCTCCTTCTCAGATTTAGTCTGAAGGTGTTGGGAATGAAATGTTTCACGATAACTAAAACCAAATTAAATGAATGCAGTGATACAAGAAGAAGAAGATTACATGTGTATAGTGCCTTTCATGTCGGGAGGACGTCCTAAGGTGTTGGACAGTGTACAGCATTTCAGACCTGAGCTGGGGTCAGTGGGGGAAAAGGGAGGGTGACCGATGGCATGGTCAAAGAGGAGGGTTTTGAGGTGGGACATGAAGGGGCGAGGCAGAGTGATTGGGGATGGAATTCCTGAGGTTGGGGGCAGAGAGGCTGAAGGCTCTCCTGCCAATGGTGGGGCGGATGGGTCGAGGGACATGGAGCAGGCCGGAGTGGAGGGAGCGGGCAGGTTGGTAGGGGGTTAGGAGGTCGCAGAGGTAGGATGGGGCGAGGCCATGGAGGGCTTTGTAGGTGAGAACCAGGATCTTGAACTGGATCCTCTGAGGGATAGGGAGCCAGTGGAGTCAGGCGAGAGTGGGGGAGATGGGGTCACGGAGTTTGGTGCGGGAGAGGACACGGGCTGCAGAGTTCTGGATTATCTGCAGCCTGTGGAGGGAGGAGTTGGGAAGGCCGACAAGCAGGGAGTTTGCATAGTCGAGCCTGGAGGTGATGAAGGCATGAACAAGAGTTTCAGCGGCCTGAGGGGTGAGGTAGTGGCGGAGTCGGGAGATGGTACGGAGGTGAGGGAAGGCAGAGCGGGTCATGGCTTGGATGTGGGGAATAAAAGACAGTTGAGGGTCAAACAAGACACCTTGGTTCCTGACTGGCGGTGAGTTGTAGTGAGCAACCATGGAGGTTGATGCTGCCAGAGTCTGAGGTGCTGAGGTGCTGGCGTGAGCCACTCAGGAGGGCCTCAGTCTTGTTCACATTCAACTGTAGGAAAGTTGCCCTCATCCAGGATTTGATGTCTGACAGACAGTCTGTCAGGACAGCAGTGGTCCTGGAGTTGAGGGTGAAGGCAGAAAGATATAGTTGGGTGTCATCTGTATACATATGGAAGTTGACCCCATGTCTGCGGATGAGGTCACCGAGGGGGAGCATGTGGATATTAAAAATAGAATATGAGGAGTAAGCGGTTTTGCTCGTAACTCAGCATTACTCAAAATGGACTTTGCAGAATCCTGATGGCTTCTGACAAGCATTTCCATTGGAGAAGAACCAATACCAAAACACATATTTTAACAATATTTATATTTCGGACCTGCTTTCTTGAACTAGTTATGTGATGCTGCCTGACCCTCATGCTGCTGTATAAATGGTCCTGTGTCTCCGGGACCCGACCCCGGCAAGAAAGGCGCTATATAAATGCAAGTTGTTGTTGTTGTTGTTGTTACATGGTTCCTTCACCATTCGGGACTAACTTAAAACAAACGTACGAGTGTCATCTTCCAGTTCCACTTGACGTTTGCACACGAAACCCACAATGAATCCATGTTACGGTCTATCCTCTGAAGCGTTTGAAAACATCCCCGATGACCTGACAAAGCGCTATATCACCGGAGGCAAAGATTATCATTGCGAATGTCAACCCTGAAAGCACTGCGCTCTTTCAGCCGTGACAAGAAGTTGGTCCCTTTTGTGCTCCGTCTTTGAAAAGAGACACTTCGCTCCTCCGGGCAGAGGGGGGCGCTGTGTTGAGCTACGCTGAGTGGGTGGGTGTGATGGCAGGCTGGTGCCGCTGAGCTGAGCGGTGGCGCCCGAGTGCGGGCTGGTCGGTCGTGTGCGGGGCGGGTTCGGTTCGGCTCGGGCTGAGGCTGTGAGGAGTGATGGTGATGGCGGGTCGGGCTGGTGGCGGTGGCGGCGGCGGCTCTCTGCTCTGAGGGTCGGGGTGACCAGGTTGGGCGGCTTCTCGAGCGTGAAAAAAAAAAACGGCTTTGGACGGGTGCCTCATTTTGAATATTATTCATTTTTGAAAAAAAAAGGGGGTTTCCTCCCTCCCTCCCTCCCTCCCAATCCCCCACTCCCCACTCCCCTCCTCACTGAGGATCTTTTCTCACACGGTTTCGAAATCACTGACCCTGAATCAGGCCGCACCGCCTCTGCTGCCCCCCAGCGGAGGGAGGCCACACGTTGTCATGATGGGGCTCGTGTTTGTGGTCATTTTGGCTACAAAAATGTTTTTCTGGCAAAAAAAAACACCCTGGTCACAATGTCACCTGCCCCCTGGGGAGGGGAGGGGCGGGGGGGTCTGCAAGTGCACCACCGCGAAAGCTTCTCTGATGCTACCTGTACGGTCACGCGGCCAAAGCCAATAATAATGATACTAATAATCATCATTGCATTGGGCGCAGCGCCTCATCACGTTTTCGAGACATCTCAAAGCGCCTCACAGGATAGGCTATTTGTGGGTGAAACGCGGCAGCCGACTGCGCGCAGCAGTGTCCCCACAAACAGTCGTGGATTGAAGAGACCCAATTATTTTTTGAAGGAATTATTACCCCCCCAATCGACTAACAACCGTGTACCTACTTACTGTCTGGTAAACAGGCGTGTGGAGGAAGGAAACTTGCCCAATATTTCACTCACTCTGCTGGGAATCGAACTCGAGTCTCTCGCTTGTGAGGCGAGTCCTTTAACCACTGAGCTACAAGGCACGACTGTGGTCAAGACACCTGAACAACAACAACTTGCAGTTATGTACGGCCCTGAACACAGTAGGGTCTTGGAGCTCTGAATTGAAACTGGGATTACAGAGATTTAATGCTTACATTTTATTGAACCAACACAAACTGGTGTCAGGTTTAGTGACTTTGTTTTGGCAAGTGGCAGCCAAGTAAAGGAAAAGTCCCATGAACAGCCAATTAGTCTGTAGAATTGATGGTCAGAGTATTCTTTTCAGTCTAAGAAAATTATTTAAAACCATTTAAATTCTTTAGTATTATTAAATTTAGTGTTACTAAATCATGGATTACTTTCGGTGTAAGTATACCCTGTTTACACCCACAAGTGCTGACAGCATCACCATCCATGATTGCACACGCCACCTCACTGAGCCAGTCTGGAACCTTGGCGTCTTGTTTGACCCTCAACTTTCCTTCCTACCCCACATCCGTGCCATGACCCGCTTTGCCTTCCCCCACCTCCGCAACATCACCCGGCTATGCCACTGTCTCACACCACAGGCCACCGAAACCCTCATACACGCATTCATTAAATCAAGGCTTGACTATGCAAACTCATTGCTTGTCGGCCTCCCCAACTCCTCCCTCCATAGGCTGCAGATCATCCAGAACTCTGCAGCCCATATCCTCTTCTGCACCAGGCTCCGTGACCCTATTACCCCCATCCTCACCCGACACCACTGGCTTCCCATCACACAGAGCATACATTTCAAGATGCTGGTCCTCACCTTCAAGTCCTCCATGGTCTTGCTCCTTACTACCTCTGGGACCTCCTAACCCCCTACCATCTTGCCTGCTCCCTCCGCTCAGTGGGCTGTGGCCTGCTTCACGTCCCCTGCCTCGCTCGCCTCACTAATGGCAGGCCGGCCTTCTGCCACTCTGCCCCCACACTCCATCTCGCAGTCCCTCCGCCTCGCCCACTTCCCTGCCTCCTTCAAGACCCATCTCAAGACCCTCCTCTTTGATCGTGCTGTTGATCTCCCTGCTTCCCCCCCTGCCTTCCACCCTCCACAACCCCGACCCCCAGCTCGGCTCCAAAATTCTGTCAGTCCAGCGCCTTGGTACGTCCTCCTGACGTGAAAGGCGCTGTATAAATGTAATTTTGTTGTTGTTGTTTACTGATTTGGAGAGAGAAAGCAGATCTAAATTACTCAGCATAATAGTGTAAATGTCTCCCTCGTTAACAAGTACCAGTTTGGGTAGCTTTCTTACAACTATTTACATTTACATAGTTTCATGTTAGGAGGCAGTTCTCACAGCTGACTGGGAGCCCGAACTGGAGGATGGAGGGGTATTGGGAAGGGGGGAAGTGGCCAAAAGTGTGATTGAAGAGATGGGCCTTAAGGTGGGTTTACATCTCTCTCAAAGAATTATGCGTCCAATGCTGTTCAGCTCCTGAATGATTGCCCTGGGAATCACTGCCTTTCGCTGAAGACATGAATAAACAATTTTTTTTAACTTCATGCCTATTTTTCTCATGCTAACCCAAATTACCAAAGAAAATTTTTAATTCAAATTGCATAACTGTCATGTGTGATTCAAACCCATGACCTCTGGATTCTCAATCCAGAAGCACTGAAATACTGGGGCCTTGGAGGTGCCAATCTTCATGTAACATGTTAAACCAGAGATCCTATATGACTGTTTAGGTTGATGTTAACTGTCATATTATTTCAGCAGTACTTTTGCTAATATCCATCATTCATACAAGTTGATAAAATTCAAAGTAACGCATTCGTAAGCTGCTTTAAATGTGTCCAGAAGTTATATAAAAAATTTTTTTTTTGATAAACTATGTTTACCCTGTTACGTACAGGTTCACAAAGTGCTGATTATCAGCTATGGCATCCTCATCGGATTCTGCTGATACCCAGGCTAAGCCGTCTAAGAGCTCAGACTACAAGACCCCAGGACTGAGGGGAATCCGTACCACCAATCTTTTCCGAGCTGTTAATCCAGAGCTCTTCATTAAGCCGGTGAGAGATTTTTAAATTTGAACAAGAGTGTTTTAAGCAATCTGGCTCCAAGGTATTGTTGATGATAGACCATAGTCTGACTTGTCAGCAAGATGAGACAGCCAGTCACTGGGGCTGGGATTCTTCCTACATATCTCCTGTTAAACTCCAACCCAAAATGGAATGTGGTCTGAACTGCACAAGCAGTGAGGCTTACCAGATAGCGTTCATAGGTTTAGTTAGTTAAACTCCAGAATTACCCCAGCGCATACTCTAGGGTTCACAAGCCTTGGCTATTGCCAACCTTCACCTAATATTCTTTCCTCAGATGCGTCCTGATCGTCATGTTGCAACTGGGGAGGGAATGTACACTCCATTCTAGGCTCAGGGAAATTGTCTGCAGCACGAAATTCGGTCACTCCACTTCACAGAATATCCTGTGAAGTGCTCTGAGATGTCCTCCTGACATGAAAGGTGCTGTAGTATTTCAAAAGTAAGAATGATAAGTATTACATTTCTATGCATATGTGAAACTCTTGACTGGTTTAGATTACCTTAAGTATGACGATGGGTTTCCCTTTGTATAACACCTAGCTGATCTAAAGCAATGTCTACCAGTTTGCATGTTCAAGCTTTAGGTAGAGGTAGTTGCTTCCATTGTATCTCCCAGTCCTATTCCTCACTATAGCGGTCAACACCAGAATCCCACCAACAGGTGGCAATATGTCAAGCAGATTTTCGCCATGGATCACCAACCATGGCATAGCACTGAGCTGAAGGAGAAGGAAAATAAACACACTGCAGAACTGTAATTTTATTTGAATGGATATCCAAGTTTTGCTTTTTAGATCTTATGTTTGCTATGTGACAGACTTCTTAGATTATTTAGATTTGACCAGGAATGATATTATGGATATTGACAATTCAATCTTTCCCAAATCTCATGACATTAGAGCAAACAGAAATCAGATTACCTTAAAAAAAATGTTTCATTGACCACGAGAAAATCCCTTTCCCACAGAGTAGTGGGTGTGTAGAATGAGGCTCGTAAACAGCATCTGTGTGAGAACAGTATTGGATAGATGGAGAGAAGGGGCTAGGGTTCATTAGTGAAGATACAGGATAGTGAATATTGTGGATTTTTTTTACTTGATTATCTTTGGAATTGAGGAATATCTTTACTCTATATTCCCATCCTTCGAATTAGATATTAACCGTGGTCTCATTGGCCTGTTCAGGTGGATATTAAAGATCTCATGGCACTTTTTAAAAGTGAGAGTTTCTCCTGGTATCCTGACAATCCCCCAAATAAAATTGGTCACTCATTTCATGGCTGTTTGTGGGACATTGCTGTGCGCAATTGCCATAATCATCTACAGATACACAGTCATTCCACTTTGCAGTGTTAAAATGTTGGGCAAGTTTCGTTACTCCACAAACCTTTGTTTACCTAGCAGTAAGTAGGAACCCGGTTGTTAGTCGATTGGTGGATCGCTTTTCCGGGGGTAGTAATTCCTTCAAAAAATGTATTATTCTTTGAAGCGCTTTGAAACACCCGATCTACATCAAAGGTACTGTATCAAATGTAAGAGTGTGGGGTGAAGTCCATGATAGAGCAGATTTTGTATGGCTGTGGAGATTGGGCATGAGGAGATAAATGGCTTCTGATTCATGTTTCATTTATGCCCTTATGATTTTGCATCCTTTCATGCGATATTTCTCTTCCCCCCATCTTAACTTGCATGGTCCATTGGTGCTGCTTCTTAATGAAGGAAATCTAAAAGAAAAAGGAGCACAGAATATTTACTTATTAAAAGGGATCAGTGCTATGCATATATAGAGGACGATATGATTCAGTGTTTCAATGTCAGATCATGATGGGTCCTGGCTTTAAATCTAGCCTAGACATTTGGCATAAATATTTCTTCTTACAAGCTTGTAAGCTGATAAGACTTTAGGCATTACCATTCTGGTTCTGGTGAGCCCCTAGATTCCAATAAATTATTAGAGTAGATGAGGTTGATAATGGTATTGCAAGTATAAACATGTTGTAGAGCGAGAGGAAGTTGGGGTTCAAATAAATTGATGGGGTAGCGTAGGGGGAGCTTTACTCTTACACCCAATCAATGCTAAAACTGACATGGGAGATTTTGATGCTGACACTGGGTATATGCATGGACAAAAATTGCATTTACCACCACTAACATCCTTTTATTTTAATGAGCACAAAGATTCATCATGTTTGCAACAAAAAAGTAACACAAAAATATCATCGGTTTGGTATGTTGAAATGAGTCATTCATAGAAGATGACACACAATATCATAATGTTTCATTCAGATACATGAAGGAGATTTAACTTCAGAATTTGTTGTAACAATTTCATGTTTGTGTTTCTTAACAGAATAAAACAGTAATGGCCCTTGGACTCTTGAGCATAACTGTGTGTGTTGGCTACATTGCCTATCTGAATGCCACCTCTGAAAATAAAAGGGAGTTATATGAAGCAATAGATAGCGAAGGAACAAGATCCATGAGACGAAAGACATCAAAGTGGGATTGACTTCAAGAGAAGTAAAGACTTCCAGCTAGGAAGCTTGATGGTTGTTTCCAACAAGCTTTTTATTGGTACAGTGTACTTGTAGGGTAAGTTGAGGATGTTTGGATTCTAGAATGATGATGTAGAATTAATTGACTTTTTGGTAAACCCATAATGAGCAATAAAATGTAATCTGTTTCTGACTTAGTATTAACTCTTTGAGTACTTGACTCAAACCATTGAATTCTTATCTGCCCAAGTTAACAATGGATGGACAGTAATCAACAACAACAACAACAAATGACATTTCTAATGCACCTTTCACCCACAGGATCTCAGAGTACTTAAATCATGCCTTTCCTTTTTTCTCATTAAGTTTAAGGTTTCTTGGCTCTCACAATGGACCACTATATAAAATATGTGGCACTAACACATACACACCAATCGTCTGGGGCAGCAATAACTCTTATTATATACAGTATTGGGATTGATTGTTTGGCTTTATTGTACCTTGCAAATGCTGAGCTCTCTACATGAAGTATGCAAAATGTACATCTTTATATGGTGGTGTTGGTGTAAAGATGCTAGGGATAACATCTCCTTTTCATTATACTTATTTTTTCATGTTTTGTGTGTTTCTCACAAGAGATGTTCTGAGACCATGCTGATTGTAATCTCAGCCACTCCACAATCACTGACCAGTGAGCTGGTTGTTGTTCCCAAACAGTGGACTGGTAGGTACCCCTGGAACTCAAACCTACCCCAATTCCTATTGTTTTCTCAGCAACATTTTCCTTTAAAATAAAAAACTGGAAATCTGAAATAAAATAAACACACTTAAAGACACATAGCGAGTCAAATCAGTATCTACAAGAGAAAATGGGTTGCATTTCTTCAAACGTAACAAAAGCTCCTATTAGAAATATCAACAAATTTGTCTCTTGCAATATGTGATTTGTCTTTGGATTTCCAGTATCTTTTCTTATTTAATATTTATTTCTAAATCCCTACTCCTCTGATCAGTGTACTACAATAAGTAGGAATTAATTAGACACATGCCTTTTTAGTGACTGTACATTTGGCTATATTCAGAACCATGTAAAATAAAGTTTATAATTTATTTCAAGCTTTGCCTGAGTTCTTGTATTTCTTAAGAATGTTTGCTGTTGCAAGTGCTTATGTACAAAGATTAATGCAAATCAGAATATTTTTGTATATACCAAAAGCACAATATACAATACCAATACTTTTCCAGTTGTTAGAATGGAAAAAGCTCCTTTGTCACACAATTGTACTACCTGCTGTCTCCTAATTGTAAAGTAGGTAGGAAGTGGAGTTATACCTTAGTAATTCATTCCCCAACATTAACCAATGTAATTCAGCAGTGTATGATGATGAAATGTGAAATTGTCTACATGTGAGGTGTGGGCTGCAGAAAGAACATTTATGGCATCATCTGACATGTCACAATAGCTAAATTAATAATAATAATCTGTGCATCTGATATAGCACCTTATCACGTCTTCGAGACGTCTCAAAGTGTTTCACAGGATATACTGTAAAGTGAATTGACTGTATATTTTGTGGGCAAAACACGGCAGCCAATTGCGCACAGCAGTGTCCCACAAACAGTCGTGGATTGAGTGACTACATTTTTTTTAAGTTAAATTATTTTACGTACAACAGTCACTAACTGCTAATTTAGCGTGCATTTTTAAATTGTGGTTTTAAAAATATTCACATATGGCCATCAATGACTATGGTCTGTAGTGCCCTCCATATTCTAACTTTCACACTTTTCAGCCCTATTGACTTTGAGCTCGTTGACCAGGCTGGGGGAACACTTCATTAGCAGTGGTGAAATCTTTCACATGAAGCATTAAACTGAAACATGAAACATCTGCCTGTTCAGGTGGATGTTAAAGATCCCATGGTTGAAAAGAGAAGGGAGTTCTCCAGGTGTCCTGGTCAACAATTCCCTAGTTAAATATTGGCTACTTAATAATAATAATCCTTACATTTGATATTCATGTCTTCTAGACGTCTCCGCAACATTGCCAGACTCCGCCACTGCCTCACCCCTCAGGCTGCCAAAACCCTCACCCACGCATTCGTCACATCAAGGAACTCCCTCCTCACCGGCCTTCCCAACTCTTCCCTTCACAAGCTGCACATGATCCAAAATTCTGCAGCTCGTGTACTCTCAAGCACCAGGCTCCGTGATCCCATCACTCCCACCCTCTCCCGACTCCACTGGCTCCCCGTCCCCCAGAGGATCGAGTTCAAGATCCTCATCCTCACCTTTAAGGCCATCCATGGCCTTGCCCCCTCCTACCTCTGACCTGCTGACTCCCTACCAACCTACCCGATCTCTCCGTTCAGCGGGCTCCGGCCTGCTCCATGTCTCCCGCCCGACCCACTCTACCATCAGTGGCCGGGCTTTCAGCCTCTCTGCCCCCACGCTCTGGAACTCCATCCCACGGTCCCTTCGCCTCACTTCCTCCCTTGCCTCCTTCAAGGCCGGTCTCAAAACCCATCTCTTCGACTGTGCCTTTGGTCTCCCTCCCACCTCTCTGCCTTCTCTCACCCCTACACCACCCCTCCTCCATGCTCGGGCCCCGACACCTGACTGTTCAGCGCTTTGGGACGTCCTCCCGACATGAAAGGCGCTCTAAATTTAATTTAGTTGTTGCCTCAAAGCGCTTCACAGAATATACAGTGAAGTCAATTGACTGTATATTTGTGGGTGAAACACGGCAGCCAATTGCACATATCCACAGTTGTGGGTTGAGTGACCAAATTTTTTTTTATTGTTATCCCTGGAAAAGCGATCCACCAATCGACTAACATCCGGGTTCCTACTTTCTGCTGGGTAAACAGTGGCGTGTGGAGTAAGGAAACTTGCGCAACATTTTGCCCTGCTGGGAATAGAATCCAGGTCTCTCGCTTGCGAGGCGAGTGGCTCTTTGTGGGACATTGGTGTGCACAATTTGGCTGCTGCTTTTTCATTCGAGTACAGTTTACTATACTTCGCAGAAAAAATGGAAGCACTTTGAGATCAGGTGCTATAGCACCTTTATTCTCATATCTTATATTTTACAAATATATATCTTAAGTTACTAGTAGAGCTGATGCTGGAATTAGCCTTCACAATGGTGGGGAGCACAGTGCACAGAGGAAGAACCAGCCTTGCTGAGATGGGACCTGTCAGACTGAAATAGCCTGAAGAATTGCACGACACTGTTTGAAAAGTTTCTCCTTGTGTTTTGTCCAATAACTTACTTCCCCCATAAAACATGGGTCATTCATTGCATTCACACCTCTGAGTCAGAAGGTTGTGGGTTCAAGTCCACATTGGAACTTTGAGTTCATAGTCGAGGTTGGCATTGCATTGTTAGAGATGCCTCACCCTTGTATTCAAGTCCCTGCACTCCTCTGCACCCCCTCCTACCTCTCTGACCTCCTCTCTCTTCAAAACAGTACCCTTTGACTTCATTCCTCCGGGTCTGGCCTCCTCCTCGTCCCCCGAGTCCTCCGCTCCACCCTCGGCGGCCGTGCCTTCAGCCACTATGCCCCGAGGCTCTGGAACTGCCTTCCTCACTCCCTTCGGCTGAAGACCTTTCTTTTCGACCACGCCTTTGGTCACCTTCCCTCCCCTCCCCCTGGCTCGGTCCCGGGATCCATTACTGTAAAGCGCTCTGAGACGCCATCCAGCGTGGACGGCGCTATATAAATCCAAGTTGTTGTTGTTGCCATCCTTTTGATGAGAAGTTTAACTGAGGTCTGGTCACCTTATTTAGGTGGATATTAATCATCCCAGAAGTAAAAATATAATCCTTGCATTTGGAATAGTACCTTCCACATTAGGAGGATGTCTCAAAGTGCTTCACAGCATTTACTCTGAAGAGTGGCTGTTTTTGTAAGTACACGCGACAGCCCAATTGCACACAGACAATGACATTATTCACAACAAAAAGGGAGTTTCTCTACATATTCCACTGTCCAACAATCGGCCATAAATAATAATAATAATAATAAAGTGAATGAACAATTGTATCTGTTGGTCAGGAAACCGGGAGAAACTGCTTCTCTTATTTTTGCCCCAAATCGTGCACAAGATCTTCAAAATCTACTTGAATGAGCAGACAAAATCTCAGTTTAACACCTCATCTGAAGGAAGCTAATTCTACAATATGGCCCTCTCCTGCACTGCACTGGAGTATGGTATCAGGCGAGAAGGCAGGTGGAAGAGGTGAATACAAATATTTAGAACATTTTTGAAAATAGTCTATTCAATGTGCATCCAGTCTGGATATTTTATTCCTCGTCTGACCATAATCACCATAACTGATCTATAGCACATGTACACTGCATTCTTATCACTTGAATAGCTTGAATCTTTGTTCAGATCAGAGTGAACCATAAATGTGATTTATTTTAACACGGGGCAGCAGAATATTTCAATAACCATTTATTTCAGGCAGCTGATGGCTAATAAAATAAAGTTTTCTGTATCGGCATTTTGAATGTAGACAAATTTGTGTGTGAGTGAATGTGTGTGTGAGAGTGAGTGTGAGAGTGAGCGAGAGTGAGTATGTGAGTGTGAGAGTGAGCGAGAGTGAGTATGTGAGTGTGAGAGTGAGTGAGTGTGAGCGAAAGTGTGAGTTTATATGTGTGTGAGTGAGCGTGAGTGAGCGTGTGAGTGTTTGAGAGTGAGTGTTTGAGAGAGTGTTAGTGAGTGTGAGAGTGTGAAAGAGTAAGTGAGAGTGAGTGAGTGAGTGAGTGTGAGAGTGTGCATGAGAGTGTGAGTGAGAGTGTGAGTGAGAGTGTATGAGTGAGTGAGTGTGAGTGAGAGTGTGTGTTTATGAGTTTGAGTGAGAGTGTGTGAGAGAGTGAGAGCGATTGTGTGAGTAAGTGTGTGTGAGTGAGACTGAGAGTGAGTGAGTGTGTGAGAGTGAGTGAGTGTGTGAGTGAGAGTGTGAGTTTGATTGAGAGTGTGAGTGAGTGAGTGTGTGAGAGTGTGTGTGAGAATGAGTGAGTGTGAGAGTGTGAATGAGAGTGATTGTGAGAGTGAGTGAGTGTGAGAGAGAGAGTGAGTGTGAGTGAGAGTGTGTGAGAGTGAATGTGAGAGTGTGTGAGAGTGAGTGTGAGTGTGAGAGTGAGTGAGTGTGAGTGTGTGAGAGTGAGTGTGAGAGTGAGTGAGTGTGTGTGAGTCAGTGAGTGTGTGTGTGTGAGTGAGAGAGTGAGTGTGAGCGTGAGTGAGTGTGAGTGTGAGAGTGAGTGTGAGTGTGAGTGTGAGAGTGAGTGAGTGTGTGTGAGTCAGTGAGTGTGTGTGAGTGAGAGAGTGAGTGTGAGCGTGTGTGAGAGTGAGTGTGAGAGTGTGAGTGAGAATGTGTGAGAGTGAGTGAGTGTGAGAGAGTGTGATTGAGAGTGTGTGAGTGAGAGAGTGAGTGTGGGTGTGTGTGTGAGAGTGAGTGTGTGAGCGTGTGAGTGAGAGAGTGAGTGTGAGTGAGTGAGAGTGTGTGTGAGCGTGTGAGTGAGAGTGTGTGTGTGTGAGAGAGTGAGCGTGAGAGTGTGTGTGAGAGTGGTGAAGATACGTTGCTGAGAGTGTTGGCTGCCTGTAGTGAAGGTGAGGGTGAAGGTGAATGATCAGTGTTGAGCCGTGAACATGATGAGGCAGTGAGTGGTGGGTGTGGGTCAGGCTGACTGGCTCAGGGGAGAGCTTCTCAGGGTGTAGAGTGAGTGCGGTCTCCCCCACTGCCTGATAACCCTCTGACCATCAAAGCACCAGAGCCTGTGACACACAGTGGCCTTTACCTGCACCGTCACCTTGGTAACCTGACCAAGCTTTAATACCTCACATTACAAACCCTCCCGGAGGCTGACACTCTTTGCTTTGCTTTGGTTCGCTCCATCGGTTACCATCTGCAACGAAAGAGGAGCTTTGCCTTTCGACACCCTGACCCAGGATGGATACTTGGTGTTACAACCTGAACTCCAGACCCACTCTGCTCCCACCCTCCACGGGAGGGATCTTGGGGCTGCCCAGGTGGTTCTCGGAGCCAACACACGCTGCAGTCAAGCAACAAGTGCACCAGTGTATCATCGGTAAGAACTGTGTGTATG